ACTTGTCGATGCGTCCGCACGTGATCACACTGAAAAAACCGCCCATTCGAAGAAAAAGAAAGAAAGAAAAAAGTGCTCAAGGTCACAAGGCGCGCGTGACGTCTTTCTGTACCTCTGCCATGCTTCCTTGCTTAGCTTCCAGCGTTTTCGTCGGGACGAGAGAATGCGATTGCAGCATGTGACACTCCACTCGCACTGGACGGATTTTAAAAAATGTTTGCGGCGTTGAATTCATGAGGCAATAAGCTCTTCCAGTGGATTAATTCCATGGTAAAAAGTGTTTCAGGGCCCCTTTAACCCACGCTAACGGTAAACTGTAACTGTCTATTAATGTTTGACTGTGGCGGAGTCGCGCGGGGGACGCAGGGGGCCTGGGAGGTCCTGAATTCCTTTGCAATAAAGTTTTTCTCGACTCGACTCCAATTGAAATGCAAAGTTTGATGGCAACCCGTCTGGCTAGGGAAATGCATACTGTGAATTCGAAAAGATGCAGCAACCCGAAAAGAACATAATTTTGGTTTTTTTTTTCGGTCGGTGTATCCTTTTGCGTTTACAGCATACGCTTGGACGAGCACACTATGTGAATAGAGAAGAGCGCATAGAAAAAGCGATGACCACACTTTCAAATTCGTTCAGTTGTGTGTGTAACGTGAAGGGGCGGGACTTACAAAACTGAAGATAAATTTCGCAATGAAATGCGTAACGAGGGTGCTTTACATGACTACTTTTCCTGCGGTAATTGTGTACGGCAGCCAATATGTAAGATGCGTCAAGATGGGCTTATTAAAGGAATCCAGCAACACTCACCTAGCAACTCACTGTTAAAGAAATATGCAATGGCAGCAACTAAGCCACACAAGCAGCAGCACTAGATGCAGACCCAAAACCTCAGCGAAACGTGGGAGGTGTCGATTTCCATGGCGGACCTGGTCGACCAGCGCCATATCGTCGCGCAGGCCCGGCAAGCGGACCAGACCAGAGGGTTCCTGGAATAAGGGACTTTCCCAAATTCACTCATTGGCCACCTAATAAACGTTTCCCACTCTCTCTCTCTCTCTATCCCATGTTTCATGAAACGGAACTTTTTATTCGGCATCAAGATGGAATTACTCGCGAGATAGTGGAATTGTATTATGTCAGTAAAACGGAACACGAGTTTAAGTTAGTAAGTCGCGATTGCCTTGCGCGTCAAAAAGTAGGCGTTCCTTGAAACATGACTGCTATAACTAATACGAAAAAAATATAATTTTGGCACGAGCGCACTTTTGTTGCGTCCTGCTCTGTTGCACATGTGCGAAGTTTCATGAATCGGCTTTAGATACGTTTTTTTAAAAGACGATAGTTAAAGACGATAGTCTTTCTTGGGGACCTTCGATGCAAAAATTTTGGTCTGTCTGTCTGCCTGTAGATTTGTCTGTTTGTCTACTTTTAACGGCACCGGGTACTTGAAACGGCCGACCCTATCCGCAGCACCCACCAATGTTGCTCAAGGTTTAGCGTTAATACTTGTGAAATTGTCAATTAAAAAGGAATTATTGCACTTGTCTGGGGCACCATAACAACACGTATAGATTCTACATGTGCATCTGTTACCAGAAAAGGTATACATAAGTCATCTTAAGGATTGTAGCGCTTATCACGCTGCGATGGCCATGCAACGCTTGCACGAAAAGACGCGTTTCCAACGCTTTGCTAAGACGAGACGGTGGTGCCACCCACCCGTCACCTTGCGTTCTACATTTTATCACCTCTGAGACGGGTATGCACACCAGTATCAGAGCCACGCGCTTCGTTTTCTAAGAAAACTGCCAGATGGCGTTCACGTCTCGCGTGTGACGTGACGCGCTTGTTCGCCTCCGCTGCACGCTCGAGGCACTTAGCGCCTCTAGAATACCATTCATCGATTTCCTTGCGCAGAACATCAAATAAATGTTTTGTTCACTCTCTCCACACGCAAGACTATCGTCTTCCGACGACATTTGCAGATTAACATGCAGATACGGGGTCATTTTTTTTTTTTTTGCTGTCTAATAGAGAATCGTGTTCGAGTGTAAGCCATGTCCTGCCCACTTTCAATATCTGGGTTGTCAGTGCGCTTGAAACTAATTTTTGAACATGGCAGACTTGAAAGTGGCTTTATGAGTGTGACAAGCTACCGAAGCCTCAGATCGATGCAATAAGTCGATGTGTTGTAGTTGATAGCAGTTGTTTCAACGCGAAGGCAATTGACCCTAGTCGCTTTTTGTGTGGTCAATGGATGAAAAGAATAATATTGACATCTTGTACTAGGTTTTCCCACGTACCTGGCTTATCCCATGGTGGCACCGGGAGGTGAAGCTCCCTAGACCAGTCATGGGCGTCCTGGACAGCCAGTATCTTAGGGGGATATGGTGCAGTCATTAAGCCATCCTCGCAAATCGTTCCCGTAAAATTCCAGGGCCGGGCGACCATAATACTATTTTTTGCAAGGCATACAATAAATATGAGTGGTAACCTATAAGAATGATATTTGGGGTTTAACGTACCAAAGCTACCACATAATTATGAGAGACGCCGCAGTGAAGGGCTGCGGAAATTTCGACCACCCGGGGTTCTGCAACGGGGCGTGCTATAACCACTGTGTGCCAAATAATATAATGGGCCATATTTTGTTTTTCTTCAAGAGCGGTGGGCGTAGACGTGTGGGGTCGGTTGGTCGGCTCACCAGCAGAAGCGAAATGAGAGGAGAGGGTCCCGCGACTTAAACGCGCTTTCGTTACGTGCCACAATGCGTACTTCGTGGCGTTCCAAAACTGGTAAAGGCAGGCGGAGCCAAGATCAATGACGTTATGACAACGGCACCTTATGCGCAGGGTGCGCAAAGAGATAGCACGTGGTCTACCCGAGTCCACCAGCACGCACCTGTTGCTTCAACTTGGGCTTCACAACACGATCAGCGATACTTTAAAGCCGTGGCATAGGTTTAAAATTAAGAACCAAGAGCAGACCGAAATTCTGTCTTCGGATCGTGCGTACACGGGTGCGAATTCCGCCTCACCATTTTTTTTTAATTTTAGCTGAGATTTTTTTTCTTTTTCTTCCTCTCTCTCTCACTATTCTTTTCTCGCGCATCAGGGTTATTGCATACCACGATTTGGTCAAATCGGCGAGAGTGTACTGGAAAGAAAGATTAAAAGAACAAAGAGACACTGCAGGCTGGTCATGTCACATACTGAATACTGTCACATACTGAATGGCTTGTTTTTTTAATTTTTAATTTTTGTTTTACTTATATTTTACAACATTGGTTGTACCAGTGAATCTTCTTGAAGCACTCATTCCAAAACATATTCCAATTGTAAAACAATATTATCTCTAGAATAAGGTACCGTTCGTTTCATAGCCTATCCTTCGCGGCGCGTTTTCGCTTCAGGCCGCTAAGAAACAACCAACCAACCAACCAACCTAGTTAACGTGAAACAGCACCCTAGACGGGTTCCTTTTCTTAGTTTTTTTATGTGTGCTTCTTGAAACTTATTGTCCCATCTAGGCGCACTGTTTCACGTTCAGGACGAAGGGAGCATGTGTTGGTTCATGATAGCGATCATTTTCGCTCACGCGTCAAGGAGCAATGCTAAAAGGGGCCCTGGAAAAGTTTCCCAACATTTATAGGCTTATTTAAAAGAAATAATTGCCTCACAAATCGACCGCCCCAAAAGTCGCGCGAGCGGACTTGCACGTATACCTCTTCGTAATCCGCCCTCTTTTCTCTCGAGAGCAACAAGTCATATACGGATTTATTCTCAATGGTGTATAAAAAAAGTGAGTTTTTAAAAACCACATCATCAGTTTATGTTGCCGGTTTTCTATGATTCCGAAATGTGTTCATTGAAAACTACGTAGAAGTGCTGTAAAAAGTTTTTTGCACCTGCCGATGTGGTGAAAGTCGTTGTGAATGTCACAAAAAAAAAAGTCGTTTATAGAAAATTTACAGATTTACAACGGCACTACTGCCCAGACAACACTCGACGACCTGAGGTCGTCCTCATATGGTACAAACGTCCTCGGCAGTTTCAGGACGTCCTCATTTGGTCCTCTAGTCGACACTTGCAGGATTATCCCCAAAATGCCCCTTTGAGACCTTTTTAAGGACGAAGAATTGTCCTGATATCGTCTGCTCGAGGACGTTTTGAGGATATGCATGTTTCGTAGGTGCATGCAGCTTTCGCAATTCGTGTTTGGTTAATTTTCTGGCTGTTAACGAATAAGTCCACGGGATTTCGTATGCCTACTTTCGAGTCATAATAGTAAAGTACTTCTCGATCATTAAAATGAGATAGTTACACGAGGAAGCACTTCAAGCCAACACGAGAAAGACGTGTTCTTTTATTTATTATTTATTTATTTACTTTGTAAGTGATCGTAGGCCAAACTTTCTGCCTGCACGTTTTCGTTGGTCGTGATCTACCGCCGACGTGCATACGGAATTATATCGCACTGACTGTGGTCTGACCCGTTTCCCCAATGAACGCACGTGCGGCAGACCAAGTTTGGTGCGAGTATAAACGGTGTCGGCTCCAAAATGAATGCAGGCGTGAAAACTGTGAATAGCGAGCACGTTATTCTCGAGTGTCCAGTGTTGCAATGCCGCACGGTCCCATCGAGCAGACGACAACTGACCATGCTGACGACTGGGCTGGCCTAGGTTATCGTGAATAGAGCAGCATTGGAACTAGAACGCTGTGGGAAAACGAATGGGCGACTGAAGTTGTGGTGGTGCTAACAAAAAAAAAGCAGTACCTTAATGCGGTCACCATGCGCAGTCAAGGTGCTTTTAAATCTGGATGTCTACGACACTGTTTACCCATTTTAAAGTGACGCAACTATCATCATCATCATTATGGGCCTGCAGTAAGTCAAGTCGAGTCATTGGTCGAGTCAACATTCCAATACAACACTTCTCGCCATAGAGGAAGCTTCTCGCAGAAGCCCTCAAAGAATCGTAAGCATGCCAGGTGAGTGTCTTCTGTTAAATTTTCATATTGAAGTTGTAAGCCGCAAAGGTAAATAAATAAAAAAAGAGAGGACAGTTGATTTTCAGCCTCGCGCTGTATATCTTTACTGCTTATTCATGTATGTATGTACAAACCAACTGACTAGCCTAACAACGTGTTCTGGTGGTGGGTGTTCTTTGGTCTAGCCACCATTCTACTGTGCTCTGTGCTGTTCAAGATGGCTGAGAGCGCGGATCGCAAATTTCGGCGTGAAATTAATCGGCGCGTCAATGCTAGTTTTCAGCTTATTGACAGTGAGGCCGATGTCATAAATGACACGCGGTACGTTGACCGAGATTCCCGCAACGCCGAAAGAGAGAGCGACTTGCCCTCCGAGGCTTGTGCGGTCGACCTCGAAGACGGCCATCGTCGCCTTTGTGTTCATGACAGAGAACGGCCTTCGGCACACTCCTCGATCGTTCCAGAAACGGATGTGCCCCAAGGACACGTTTTGATTTCTGGCGACGCGTGCTACCCCAGCGGCTGCAGTGTTTCTGTGCCTCACGATCACACAGACTTCGAACGGCGTGCCTTCCATGACAGCAGCGCTGCGGCTTCGACTTCGGCGACCTCGCAGGTGAGGCAGAGGGATTCTTTCGAATTGGCACCGACTGGGAGTAACGAAGAGCAAGTTTGTGAACGCGGCAGTGTGGACAGCTTGCTGGCCTTTCGTGAGAGACTGCAAGCGTGGGCCTTACAATCTCGCGCATCGCACACTTCAGTTACATCGCTCTTGAGAGTACTACAGTCCCACGAATGCTTCAGCGCGCTCCCTTCAACTGCAAGGGCATTGTTACAGACGCCCAAGAAGTGCCTGGAAGTGTTGCAGCTGGCCGGCGGGAAATACCATCATTTCGGCCTCAGTGCAGGCCTACAGCGAGTGCTGCAAGATTGTGCAGAACTACCAAGAATTTTGAAGCTTAGCTTCAACATTGACGGTCTGCCGGTTTCAAAAAGTTCACGGGGCCAATTTTGGTGCATACTGGGACGCATAAGTAATTTGGAGGACAAAGCACCATTTATAGTGGGTGTTTTTTTCGGAAGCAGCAAGCCCAACAACGCTTATTCTATTTTTCACAAATTCACTTAATAACCTAACTTTCAACAATTTTTCTGAACTTATTCCAAGTTTTTGTTGAAAACTAGGTTGTAAATATATGGGTACACTGAATCACAGCACGCAATGAAGGTGCTTCATCTCAGTGTCAACTCTGCATGCGTATTCAGGTCCTAAAAAGGCATCACTGAGCATGCTAACAAAATAACTGAAGCCATGTAGGCACAAATTTCTAAAACCGACAATAATGTGCAGAGAAGCCATAAACAACTGTGTGCTTGTTTTGCTGTGTTTAGTAGCACTTCTCATTTTCAATGTTATCTCAGCTTTTGCCATTTTATATGTTGCAATTCAGCGCTATTACTTCATGAACACGTCTTTACAGAATACGTGCGTCAACTCATGCGAATTTCGCAAACTATCCTGATGAGGCTAGAGCAGCTGGGACGACAGGTTGATGCCATGCAGCAGCACCTTTTCAACACAACAGTGAGGCTTCAAGATGAGACAAATGATGATGTGGTTTTGACACCGGTCAAGGATATTGACCAATTTCTAAGTCTTGAGGGGAGACTTGCTGCTGATGGCAACATTAAGCTAAAGCTTGTACGTCATTCATTATATTTTTCTATAATTTTTTTTTCTAGTCACTGCATTAAGCTACTCTTCTAAAAAAAATAATGACCTCAAAACTGTACAGATACAGCAGCTTGCTGGCCTTGGTGGCTCAACTTTTGGGGCAGCAGCCAGGAGGATGCTGGAGCTTCTGCTAAGCCTTGAGGTTGCTGTGCAGTTCAGCTGGGCAGGCCAAAAAGGCAAAAGGAAGTTTGTGGATCTAGGTGTCACAGATGTCATTTGCAGTGAGTAATTTGTTTCACAACACCATGTGCTGCAAGAGCCGTGTTTGAGTACAGACATTTCTAAGTCTGTTATCCACATTATCTTTCATTTGAAGTCAATAGCAAAAGAACAATCTTTTCATGAAAGCATTAAATTTTTTAGGATGCTTGCTAATTAAAATTATGTGCTTAAACGTGGAAAATTTTTAGCATGAAATATCTGTTGTCAGTAAGAAACCCTGCAGCTTCTTCAAGCACACTAGTATACTTGCATGGCACACATACGCAAGCATTCACTACTTGCAGAAGTTATTATCAGGTAGCACTACTAGGCATTCTTAACTGTAGTGGAAATCTTATGTACAGATGAAAACTAACAGATGGAAGCTCATAGTGATCACTGAGGATCTCTAAACAGGAATAAGTACCTAAGACAAGCTGGTCAACATTTTCATACATGGACGTATTTTCGTCAAAGGCGCCTCATCATTCTTTGCATGCTAGGTTTCAAAAAAGTTACAATGATGTCTTCTTCGTGGTGTTCTTCTTGTAATGCAACACATAGTGTCAATGTCAGTACTCTTGAAATTAACATGGGGAAGGATGGCAAGGACCTTTAATGATGATGTGCCCACCTATCAAAATGTCGATCATGCTGACTAGAGGTACTTCTTCAAACAACCTATGTAGCATTATATTAATGTATTATGTTTGTGTAATTCCTGTTTTATGAACTTTGTACTTTTTCAGAGGCCGTGAGGCGAAATTTTCCGGAAACAAAAAAAATGACATCGAGTGTGTGATTAAAGTGTGGCTTCGGCATGCTGGGGAAAAGCTCCAGAAGCAGCGCTTAAGAACTTCTCGCACTCACCATGAGGGTGAGTTTTATTATCTGTGCTGTTGAAGCTATCATAACATATGATACTTTTGCTGTTATAGTTTAAATAATTTTCTTGCCTTACTCGAATTTTGATGTGTATGCAAGCATGAACTATATAAATCATTTTCACCATTATATAATGGCTAGTTCGTACCTGCACATTATGGTAATATAATTTTCATTTTATGCTTTCAAATCTGGCATGCTGTTATTGTCTTAATATTCTTATTGATACTCTAAATTCACTTGTGCTTCAAGATATGCTGCTTTCTATTACTACAGAATGTCTTCAAAGTGTCGCGTTGTCAAGCCCATCGGATGAAGACCTCTGAAGGCACAGGGCAAGAAGTCTCATCTAGTGAAAACTGCCAAGTTTCATTCCTGAAAATAAACATGTTTTCTGTGCATTGCTGTTTTTATTGCTATACTTGAAGAAATTGTTACTGAAACCTCACAGGCAGTGCTTTAAAGAGTGTGCATGTTCAGGCACTTTTGATTGATCAGTTGTCATTTCAGCGCTCCAAAAGAAGAATTAGAGCAACTTTTCGTAAGGTCTGATGAGTGCCTAGGTCTTGTATGCTTCGTCCTCAAAAAGTACTAGACTCATCATAATGTGCTCTTTTCTGGATGCCCTGAGGACGATCTGAGGCCGGACAAACGGACTGGTTTAGGACCACTTGAGGTTCATTTGAGGGCTTCCTCAGGTCATACTTTCGTACGGTGTAGGTCATCCTCAGGACAACCTCAGGTTGTCGGAGCGTTGTCTGGGTGCCCACCACCATTTGGGCTCGTCGTAAACTTATTTCGTAAAGATCTTCAAAAAGCATGGAGACGTCCGAAATTCATTTCGAGGCTTCCGATTGGCTGGTTGCTTCTCGCCTAGCTGGTCCGTTGCTCGTTCTTGTGCGTTTAGCTTCTTGTGCGTTTTAATTCCCCTTCCCTGCGCAGAACTGTGGAGGTGCCCTCCATTGAGAGAGGCAGTAACGGAAGTGCGCTTATTTTTTTCCTCTCCTCTTTTCAAAGTCACTATGTTCTTGTGCGTCGCGAGGTCGCGGCGGTCTAAAATCGCACCACTTACCCCCGTATTCACAAACGCTCCTCGACTCGACTTTCACCCTCCACTTGACAGAGTTGAGCACTGCGCCACAGCTCGGCTCAGAAATGACTCAAGAATCGCAGCAGATTATCGCTTATATGCAGTGACTTGCCGTGCGCATACAAGAGAAGGCGCTGCCATCGGCTTTCTTAAGCGAAGGCGAAGCATTGAGTGAAGGGACGTTCTAGAGTAAGGGGTTAGTGACGTTTTCGCACTCGTTCTGTGTTCACGGGTCGAAGATAAATCAGCACGTGTCGAAGATAAAACGGAAGTCTACTCATCAGATTACGATCGTGCGCCGCACTCGTCGCGAACATCGCACGCGCGCGTCTGGAACCGGGCATGTTGGTGGGAAGGTTTCCGCTTATCAGCGCTTCGGACTTTGTCATGAAGACCACCGCGGGAGAAATCTGTGTACTCGCGATCGAGCTTATCGTAGTTTGAAACATCGGGCACCGCGGCCATGCACATCGCAGCAGCGCTTTCTGCTCAAGTTGCGGCTAGGCCTAACTCCGCCCCGAACTTGGGGGGGAAGGGGGGCAAGACCATGACCTACTACACTCCTGACCTGCCCAGAGAGCACCTCTTCCAGCGCCCACGTTCTAGTTCATACCTTCTGCCGCTAGGGCCGTCACCTACGAGCGGCGTGGTGCTAGTCAGCACCTGTTCGCTGACGTCATCTTCACTCTTTGTGGTGAAATTTTGACCAACAAAGCACTCGTAGTGCGTATTTATGATCCACAATTTAGAATTATTCAGAAATAATAATACTAAAAGACATTCAGAATTTTTTTTGCAATAAAATGCACGCGACAACGCATAGGCTCTCCTACATCATGTAAATCTACGGGTTCCCACGTTTGTCAACCAGTGTGCTATAAGTACTTAGGCGCACTGAACAGCTTGCTTAACCAGCAATGTATGTGAAGAAATAGTCACATATATGCCGGCAGTTCACCACAGAATGCAGGAATTCTTATTCCAGCGCCTACAAAACAACCGTAAAGAAGCAGACGAACAGGTTATAGGTAGCGCCACCTACGGCGAGCGATTGAACGAGAGCGGGGACACGCGCTCCCATAGGAACCCCGCTATCTGAACAGGTCAGGAGTGTAGTAGGTCATGGGCAAGACCGGCACGCCAGCGGATATGCGAAAGCGAAGAAGATTGTGGTTATAAAAGGGAAAAGAAGAGAAAAGCGCGCCCCGTAGCTGTCTGCATCTGGTGCGACACCTCAATAGTAGCTCACGAGAGATAGGGGCGAGGAGGGATTAAAAGGATGGGATTAAAGGTAGAGAGAGACAGAGATGCGCTAGGACAGCGAGCGACGACATAAGGGAAATAGGAAAGATGGAAACACGGTCACAGGAATCCGAGGACGGGGCGCCACTTGCGAGAGCTCTTGTCGGCGACAGGAGGTCGCGTAGGGCTAATCCAGTCGGACAGAGCTGTGCTGTCGTCGTCGTAGGGGACCGGCGGCAGGAGGTGGCGTAGGTCCAACCCAGTCGGCCAGATGTGTAATAGCCGTAATGTGATTCGGTGGAAGCAACGAATCACATCGTCTGCTGGCCCCTTAGAACCGCAAATAGGCATCTTGCGCATCGGTAGCGGACCCCGGCCAAACTCGCTACGGACTGTCGCTCGGAACAGCGGTGGCAGCGGCCAGCGATTCCGCGCGTCAGCGCCCCAACACGCAAAACCAAGAGCGCCATGTGCCGAATTTGTCATCGCAGCTTGGCGTGTTAATCTATAAAGGACCGGAGATCGGCGGTCTTCATTCTTAAATCAGTACGCCGATATTTTCGGCACTATTGCCGTCCCGAAAGCATGCCATATAAAGGATGTTTGAAGTCGGAAGTTATATAATTTAGGATGCATATGGTAGAAAAGTCCTCTGTGAAGGAGTCCTGACCACCTTGATGACCTTATATCCGAATTTCCCTTGTATCAGAATCCATAGTAAACTAAGCTCAATCAATGAAACAAGTAGGGAGGTCGGCACAATGCCACCAATTAGCATGTAGTATCCGACTATCTGTTGTAAGCAGATCCGTTGTGACAAGGTTATATGGTATGCGGGAGAGACAACAGCAACGACAGGCCAATCACAAATACACAGAACTTCAGAATACATTTCACACCACGCAAGCTTGAACAATAAGCAAAGGAAAAATATGCAAAGGAGGTTCATTCTATCAGCAGCAAAACCTAAACATAACAGTTTCGTCTGACATGAAAGTGGCTCGCTATATACAAAAATTTATTACAAATGTGAACTTATAACAAAGCACAAATGCCCACACAATTCCTCACTTAGTTATAACTGAAAATTCATTGTATTAGTATTCAACATACTAAGGTTCAATTCCCAACTGCAACAGGAAGCGTTGAATATTCAGCAACATCATTTATTATAATATCATTTGGCAAAAGTTCCAGTTGCCTCTTTGTCTAACTGCATTCATTTTACAGTTACATGAGGTCATAGTTTGCAAATAAGGTAGAGAAATGAGAAAAGTTAACTTTTCTTTAGTGCCATCAATATTGACTAACTAATGTTGAATGCCAATAGTAGAGTCGGTGCAGCCGATGGACTCTGTGAGTGAGCACTCTACTCTGGCGTAGAGCAACACCTCCGAATCCACGATTGGTGCACAATCCGCGCTGCCCGAGCAAGCATAGAAGCACGGAAGACGCGGAAGTCCTCAAGTTGCCCAGAATACTTTTCGTGTAGGTATTCTATTTCGTGAATTCCACTGTCAATTGCTGGGGAATTATCGCTCGTACATAGTTTCAGTGCCAGTGACACGATCCGATGAAGCGCTCATGCAGGAATTCGAACTTTCCGATTCAAGGCGGTCGCAAACCACGCGACAGTGGTGGCACCACCAAGTGTGCAAACATGTCACACAGAGGTCTGGTCCGCTCTGCCGATTTTGGCGGAGCAACTTTTCCTGCTCCTCAGAGTCACTTCCGCTCTGAACCCACTCAGGCTCTCTCATTGGAACACTTCACCTCTGCCCTCACTCCGCCATTAGAATACACTTGCTCCAAAAGGAGCAGTAAAACTTGCTCAGACTCTGCCATTACAATTTAACGTAAGTGTACTTCTCAACAGTCATGACTTGAATGTAAAAAAGGACCCACGCATCTCCACAAAGTGAATGATGACAAGTTGGCAAAGCTAGATCCTAAAATCGATGTTGTCTACGTTGAAGTCACCAACTAAGTATAAATACACAGACACGTGGACAAGCGCATGGATACATGGACAGACAGATGCATGGATGGTGTAGATGATCATGTATTGTGCAGTCTCAGTTGTCTTACACAACTGTATTGCTTTTTTGTTGCATAGGTGTTCAGTTCGGCGAATGCGGGGCACAATATCGGACAAGCTGCACCCATAAGGGGCTTTTCCCCTAAAGACAAAGAATAAGAACACAGTCTGTAATAACCGGAGTTAAAACGTCTTTTATTTTTCAGCAAAAAAAAAAAAAAAAGACTCGCCAAGTTTCTTTGATACCCAACAGTACTTTCACGGCCCTATACAAACACAACGCTGGTATCCACATCTTGTTTATATACACGTTTTGCACATAGCCTCTCCTGTCTTTAATACTCCCGAGTGGACGACTGAATGCATCAAGACACTGACTGCCCTCGCCTGCGATGGTGAGTGTCTGCTGCGGCCCTCAGGTGGCAAGCCGCGACAACAGAGATAACTCACTGTTTGGCATTGATGAGCTCGTTTATCTGAAATGAGACCATCAAAATGATCACACTTTTTTTTTTGGAAACTTCTCAAAGCGTGAGCTTTATTTAAAATTCAGGAATTCCCAAAGTTTTCATATGTCCAACAAACTTATGTTATAACATTGAAGAGCAATCGAAGCACAAAATTTGGTGAGCTACAGACTATGGTTGTGAATGCTCAATTTAAGTTAGGCAAGAGCTATAGACAACAGGAAAGACTAAAGTGGTGATTGCTCTGGAAGCTACAATGCCTACATTGCACACAAAAAGTATGCATTCAGACACAAAAAGTATGCATTCAGACTTGTTCACTACAAGGTGTTCACACCAATATCGTCATGTAAGTGCTATTTTGCTTTCCCTGTTCAGGTCTACCCAATGAAATGTTAGATTCCCTATTCACCACATTTAATAATGTCTGCTCTGTTACTGACAGTATAAAATCAGGAAACATACAATTAAATAAATTGAATATGAGGGTAAAACCTGCGGCAAGTTTTTCACTCGTGACGACGAAAAATCTAAATGAAAGATATAAAAAAATCGCTACTTCTGTCATCAGTTGACGGAGGCTAACATGTGGAGTATAAGTACCCCCCCCCCCCCACCAAAAAAAAAATACATATATGTGCGAGAATACCTGCAGCTGAATTGATAAAACACACAGTACTGGTACAGAGGTTGTGTATTTGCCTTAGACTAATAGCAATACTTTTTTTTCTCTTTCATTTCTCTAATACAAACTGTTTTGCAAATTTCATTCATGCACAGTTAAGTTTACTGTGGAAGGAGAGAAGGATATGAGGCAATATGGAAAGCATATTATGTGCTTTTACAGCTAGATAGAGGACATTTTAGGCCAAACACACACCATTCTTTTTTTTTTTTTGTAAACGGATGAATATGATGGGCATTGGCATGCTGGCACAAGTTGCATTTGCACGGGTGCAGCAACACACAAACAAGTGGAATTGCAGCAGCCTGGCGCAAGTAGACTACCGCTATAGTAACGTGGTACGCACTTTGTGCAGTCGGCGCCAACTAGCGGAGACCACTCTGAAAAAAACTCTGGACTTCTCAGGAATCGATTACTGCATTCGGTCGAACTTCACAGTACATGCTGTAGTATGTTTTAGAACAGGTCGAATACCTAAATTAAATGCTGCCTCCTGAAGCAACGCGAATGTTCCACAATGTCTTGCTCCTCCTGCTGCTTAAATTTTTGAGACTGACTGTACATACATTAAGTGAATGCAATACCTGAGCCTTGTACATGGACTTGACATCTTCGAGATCGAGCCGCAGCTCCTCAGTTTCTTCAACCTTTTCTCCATACATCTGGAGCAGCGTATTATATTTTTGATTCACATCCTGCAAGCAACAACACCAAGAGTTTCTTTCTAACAACTCTAAAACATTTCTCAACATCCTATGCTTCAGTCCTTGGCACATATAATGTTTTGAAGTTAATCTTTATTTGAAGTACAGCAGTGAAGCACTTGGGATGCAAAGGAGAAAAAGAGTACGCACTCTTCTTGAAGATATTTACAAACTTAAACACATCAAACTACAGACTTTAAAACCACAGTGAGGTGCTAAGCTTTTTGTTTGAGTTTCAACAAGAAAGCGATCACTTAAAACTTTATAACTTAAATTTGCCACTGGAATCGAATCGACAAACAAAAATTTGCTATTTATGTATGTATGTATTTACGTGTGTGTATTTCATTACATACTCGTATTTAATTGTACAAAAACATTCACTATGTGCACTTACGTACTATATGTATTTGTATTTATGCTCATGCCTGGCCCTACGTGCCCAGGACAGATGCTTACACCCCCTTTCAAAATTTCATAGGGAAGGGGGGGGGGGGAGCAAAGAGTCCTCTATTTCACTCCTAGAAATTTCGGTAGATGGGGTGTTTTACTGAAAAAAAATAATTAACATAGGTGTTGTTCTCAAGCAGTCCCGGCCTTCAGTAAGTGCAAACCCCCCTTCCCTGCAAGAACATTGTCTGCTTAGATGCCTGGCTAGGCTAATGCTGTAGTGCCATACAGGGCAGCCGCTCTTTCAAACCGTTATAATAGCTTTTAAGGTGATAGCTGTAGATGCCTCATCAAGCGAAAAAAAAAAAAAAGACTGTTGGCTTTGGCAGCATCCTGAAATGTTTGCACGTTATGTCGTCCCACACACAATGATGCCACAGATCCTCAGCGAAATTTGCAATTTTATCGTAACATCACTATGATGTCACATGACACTGTCACCAGGTCAAAGTGAGCCAATCACGGAGGAAATGCAAAAGAAGGTGAAGTGCTGAAAGATTTTAGAGAATTACAGGGGATGATCAATGCACTGGCTGAGACGAAGATGGTTTTTCACCGCCCAGATGTCCTAGCCGAATGCAGAAGGGGACATTTGCGAGTTTCTGTCTCGCCTCCTGTCGAGTAAAAGAAAACCCACATCGAGTCGTGTCACCACTTGCCTCGAAGCGAACCCTGAGCTCAAGCAGCTCCTCGTGCTCCTGGTCCCAAAGCTCTTGCTTGGCTGACAGCAAGGTTAGTTCCCGTGACAAGGATTCCCTGCATCGTTCCAGCTGGCCAATTTGAGCCTAGAAGAATAATCGTGGTCAGCTCAACGACTTGGGAAAGAAAGCAAGCCTTCTCAAAAGCAAATACAAATAAGTGGATCTCCTCGTCCAAAAAAACAGTCACTCTTGCCCATATCTCCATGTCTGGCCATAAAAAAAAATTGAAACTCCGTACAAATAATGCTGAATGCAGCAGTCGCTAAGTTTTATCTAAGCTAGTTACTGCACATGCTAGCTTTAGGCAGCATAGTTGTACATCTGTTTTCCAAACACTCCTAGCTACCATGCACTGCATCCCCGCCGCCTCTGCAGTGAACAGTTTAACAAGAATGCCATTATTGCCCTCAGTAATGCCATTACCTGAATATGCATGACTCCTCAAAAGAATTAAGCTGTGAACTAAGCCTTTGTATTCTTGTGGCACTTTACCGAAACGAGGTGTTTCTTCTTTCATTGACGTACGTTGACACGCCAGGCACATCGATCACCTGAGATGCTTAATTAAGCTCATCACCCACAAATACAGTTAGCAGATTCACCAAATAGATGCGGTAGCTAGCCGCACTTATGTGCAACTCTGCTCCTGCTATGGGAAGCATATACAGTCCAAGCTAATGACCAATGCCCCCAAGTGCTAAGTGAATATGAACCAAACCCTGCGAGTCACCACTAAGATTCTTTACACTGTGCCACCAATCTATGAGGTGCCCCCTGCAGAGCTTCTGTGTTCTGCATCATACCTACCTACTGAGTGGTAACGAAAGCCCTTATCTCTGTTTTGGCAAGATAAAATTTGCACAGCTTGCACTAGAAGCCCAAGGCTGGGTCACGGTGAAACGAAAAGCTGAACAGCTCCAACGTAAAATGTCTATCTACATGGACACTTCACAAAGCCACATTCTTGCAAAACTCAACCGTAAAATTTTCCATGAGGGTTGCTCTACGCCTATCCCTTACATGAAACTCTGCCCTCTGTGGAGTTATAAATATTTCATTACAGTTAGCTCATAACAGAAACGCCAAACATACTTCATTTCTTCCCTTCCACACCACGCCATCGTTTAGTCAGACCCTGAGATCATTATGAAAACTTGGCAGCAACAACGAACAGCACACTGCAACAGTAAAACAAGTGCAGACAGAACCTTTGGTTTAATTTTTGGGAATTGAGGCTAGCCCGCTGCCTTTGCGCGGGCTTTGCCGCCTTTTCTGCCGTTCTCATGTCCCGACATGTCTGCCCTCCTTTGCTGTCTGCTGCGGTGGGAGAGCGGAGTGACGTTTAACTCCCTCACCCGGTAGCGGATGTTGACTGTAGCACCGCGCGCGGAGTCTCCTGAGAGGTTTTCGCCGCTGCATCAGGAGCGGACAGATACTCTCCGGGACTGCAAACGGTGAGCCACGCAATCTTTTCGGTCCGTCGACTCCCGTCACTCGGGGCTCGTCGGACTTCGCCGACGGCGCTTCGCGCCCGAGGCGAACGCTCACATTTTGTTGCCCCTTTGCGTACGCTCAGCCGAGGAATGGTACGGTGTCCTAGTGCGTGGCCAATCTACGCCGACCCGTTTCTTTCCGAAGCCAACGCAAGCGCCTTTGCCCTCGCTCGAGCAACCGGGCCTTGGTCCCGGTGTCTCCGTGGATCATTTTTACCGCAGAGACGTGCTCATGGCACCCTGTGTAGTACTTTTATGCCCGTGGCGTGGATAAGCCTATTTGCTTTCCTGCCGCGCCTTTGCAACGGGCTGTACTGCGTTTTGTAGAAGAAAGATATACAAGAAAACACGAAGGAGAGAGAAATACAAAAAGGCAGGATTAACTGATATCAAGTGTCATTCAAAAATGAGACGACGCCACCTAAAAGTGACACAGAGGGTGAATTGACACATCTATCAGTGTTGTTCTCTCAGTTTGGAGCCTTCAGCAATCTTCCTCGTTTATGCATCCTGATTTAGAATACAGGACAGAGATGCGCGAAAGTTCCGGTACGCAACCACATTTTTTGGAATGTGCGGACAAGTGTAAACCTGGTGCGTACTTTATCGCATTGCAGTTCTCGGCGCAGCTACACATACAGGAAGCGCCCAGTCTTGTCTGGTATATACCCAGTCACCCACATTCATTCGACGCTGAGTAGACTGACATTTCACACCACAACCCCCTTCTGTAGAGTCTGCCTTCATTTTGCTTTTCATGTGAATCTTTCAACACATCTGCCACAATTTTTTGATGGCCAAAAAAAGAAGCTTAAATTAAGTTTTACTGTACATTACTTTACCCTATGTGAAAGCCCATGCACATATGAAAAGGTCGCAAACCTTTCTCGTTTTCGCAGTACCATCAGTAGAGCAACCTTTTTTTTTCCATTCTCAAAAACTTCTGAACTACAAGATAGTAGAACATCAGTCAGAGAGCTGGCATCTTGCCACCCAGTTATTCGTTTCGAGAAAAACAGATACCAATTTTTTGGGAGAAGACTTCGTGACAGCTGAATTCAGAAGATTAACCACAATATCTGGTTTTATTACTTTTGTAATAAATGAATAATCTACAATAAGTTCTTTTTTTAATGGCGAGAATAAGACCTGCATAAGTGACTCCCATAAAAGATAACTCAAGATCAAGAAAGTGCAACGTATTATATTATTTATCTTATCTGTGAATAAATCAGTTTCAGTTCTTGTAGTTGTTTATGCCCCACTATTTCTATGTACCACTTATTTACTTTGCCAAGTTTACACTATGAATTATACCACCAAGCCTGCTTATCAACTTTTCTGAAGATTTTGATATAATGAATTTTAATAAGCAACATAGCAAACAAAGAATGGTCTTGCCATTAATAGTGTTACAGGTATATGTTTATATAACAAAATATTCAGAACAAAGCCATTTGTGTTACATGCAATTCTGTCATAATCAGGTTTGAATGGTGGCATCCTTACCTGTAACTGACCAACTTCACCCTCACGCATTTTGAGTTGCGCCTGCAGTGACTCAATGAGTGAACTGCCGCCGATGCCACGGAGACTCTCGTACAGGGAATTATGACGACTTGCAGGTGCAACGCTAAATGCACTGTTCGCCAGACTTGCATCGTCGGGGATCTGCATGGTTTACAGCCGTGTTATTTGTGAAAAATTAAAGCCCTAGTCTCATATGCACAAAAATCCACGCAACAGTGATGAAAAGGCCATTGTTGCTTGGTTACATCAAATAATTTCTTTGTTTTGCGATTCTAGAATATGCCAACCATGAGCTGGAAGTATTATGTGCAACCTGCTGCAAAACCAGTAACAGGACATATAGGGTCATCCATATCTTAGGTGAACATCTCATTAGTATTGAAGTTAGTAAAACTAGAACATTTATTGCACATAACGGTGGCAATGTTCGTTACATGACGAGTCAGTAAAGCTAGAACATTTATTGCACATAATGAAGACATTCTGATTATATGACAACTAAGAATGGTGTCAATAAAAAAAAAATAACTTTTCAAACTGTGTATTAAACCCAAGCTTCTACAAGGTCTTGAATACTGATGAAGAGCTCACTTAAAATTCCGGCAACTCTGTACATCACTGATGTGCTGCTTGTCCCTAGTATTAATTTTGATGCATGTCAGAAGCAGCAAGTTCAATGCAAGAACTTCAGAGATGTTTTGTGTTGATTTGTGCAACAAAACATATTCCTTTGCATTTTACACTGCAGCCGCCATGCCGGTTTCGTCCCAGCATAGGTGCCTTCACTGCCAGCAACATTAAAGATTTGTAAATGACAGCACGCGTCATCGAGCTGCTTGTCGCCGCTGCATGAATTTTCACGCATGTGGAGTTTGAATAAGGGGATGAGATAAGAGGGCAAGATTGTGACTCACTGCGTTGCAGTTGAAGGTGTCGCTGACGGAACTGTAGTGCGATGCCGTAGGTGATGGAGTGTTGGAATGGTCAAGACTCTTCTCTCGCTGGAAACAAGAAACCAAGCACCAACAATCGTTATAAGCTTCAAGAAACATCACAACATATCACTAATGAAAGGTGCATTTATTTTAAACTGTGAGAACCTTTACGCGTCAACATGTACTTACTTGTTGACGGAGTCGTAAACTAGGGCTTCAACTTTTTTTATCGATAGAGCAATAAGTAAGGTAAGGTAACCTGTTTACGACAAACCAGTTTGAGAAATTGGTCAGGCAAAAAAAAATTAAATCAAACAGAGTGCTTTATCCTGTTCATTCACCTCTGCCATTGTTTAAACTATGTTGTCATAATGAACGTGAAAAAATAGACAAGCTGAGAACACCCTTAAAATAAGCCAGTAAGTTTTGATATTTATAAAGGCTCACCCGCATTTTGGCGAATATTCACAGCAAGTGTGCTGGATTTCCCAGTGACATGATAGACAGGTTAGCTCTTTGTAATACTATATTGAGGCTTTTAAGTTGTACATTGTATTATGATTTACAGTTGAACAAAAATATGTCGAATTCAAGGGGCATTGCAAAGTAAATAAATATGTATAGTATTGTTAACTCTAAAGCAAAAATTTGAGCACCTAGAGCTTATTTGCATATTCTGTATATCTCAGGCAATCTCTCCTGAGACAACGAAAAGTGGAAATTGATTTAATTCATCCTAGCAATACCACGCTGAACACGCATAAGAGTGAAAACGCTTGTGAAAATCCGCACGAACAAGACTAAGACACAAGACGAGAAGAACACAGTTCACAGTGCTCGGCTTGTTTCTTTGTCTCATTGGCGTTGATTTTTATAGGCATGCATCATTTCTAACTCGCCCACTACTCTACAGCAAGAATACTTGCGCTTCATTTTTCATCTATGCCTCCTTCTAGAATACGCTTATGACACTGCGAGACATTTTGCCTTTTAGAATCAGTACGGTGGTCCTTTTTTCATAAATAAATGTTGGCACTTATAGTACACTTCTTCGCACATTGGTAAGTTGTCTCCACTATCAACCATAGCCAACCACAACTTTTACCTACTTTTCGGTCGTTATGGCCCGAGAATATTACCCCAGGTTTCTGCAGCACTAAAAGAAAGCAAGCACCGACCAAGAAAAACTCATAGAATATTACTTTTGCCGATGATATAATGCCTAAATATTTTAGCATTACGTGCCCAGCGTGTGGTGGCTGACAGAGTGCTGCTGCAGTCGTATTGAGTTGACGGGAAGGGCCCAACCAAAGACCACAAAGGGATGATAGCGTCACTGAATTAAATGGGAGGATGGCCATGTAGTTTACTAAAGCATGACTAATTACGAATCACAAACAGAATCTTCTTGCACAACCATTCATATATTAACATTACTGATTCTACCTAACACATACCATACTTACTCGCTTGATGAATGCACTCGCATAATAAACGCACACCATACATTTGGTGCCTCCTTGTCCATTGGATCTCTTGTTTTTTGCAGCTCGTTGCCTCTACCTCTTTGCCCGCTGCCGCGTGCCATATTGTTATTCTTTTATCAGTGGGCGGCACGTCCCCTGTCATTTTTTAATATCTGTGCGCCACAGCGGGGTTCACGTACAGTGTGAGTGTAGACGCATCGCAGCTGATAACACAGCGAGCACGAAACTGCCCGCGTCAATTAACAGCCGCTTGTGAAAATACAGAACTTTAAGGCCCAACCACATGCCCGTGATTTTCGAGAGATGATGACAGGATTCGCTGTCACCATGCTGTCGCTAAGGGCCATTTGTTACTATCGCATCACAGGTTTCTGGAAAACAAGCAAAAATCGCTTGTGGCCCAGAAAAGATCGTAACGATTTCCGCGGTAGCGCACCGCCTCCGATTCTCGCTTCGGTCGCAATTTGCTTTTCATGCTTGTCATTCCCCCGTACTTCAAGGAACGCAAGATATAGGCTACCTTTTCTACAGTTACTTCTCATGTGAACAGCAAGATAGGCAGCCATATTTTGTCGTTAATCTTGTTACCGGTAATTCGTTTTGATGCTTCAGTGGTAGCTTGCGACAATGTTAATGGCGACGGAGTAGTTGTCGTGCGAGGTTGCCACGAAGTCGGCAAAGTGAGTCGTAGCGTCGTAGCGCAAGCTTCTGGGTGCCCCTAGAGATCACAGCAGATAGCCCTGTTGCGTTTAAATGATTACGAGAAAAGAAAGCGGCAAAACGCTTTTGTGGAGTGCGCGGGCGGGTGCAGCTACAGTTCGAAAAAGACAGCGCCTTCAACCGCATTCTTTGCTCATCCCAAAAAAAGTCTTCATAAAATTTGCCCCGCATAATAAGCACTCCCTTAAGTTTGCGGCGATTTTTCGAGAAAAAAGGTGCATTCATTAGGCGAGTAAATACGGTAATTTCTTGTCTCAATAGCACTTATTGAGTAGCACTGCTAAACTTATATTCCCATGTGGTAGCTCAGTTGGTAGAGCATCAGATGCGTTATTCGAAGGTCGCAGGTTCGGTTCCTGCCCACGGCAAGTTATCTTTTCATCCACTTTTCTTTCTTCACATTTACATTACAATTATTTTACACATGTGACATCTCTTATACTTTCCTTTGCATGATTGCCAGTTATATCTCATTATGTTATATCACAAACGAGTAATTTACGCAATTATTCGACAATCTCCCATGGTGCCCACGAGCATACGTCACTGTACAGCAACAACCCCTCCTCTCACCAAAATCGGCAGGCGACAGCCAAGAATACCATCGCATAGCAATTAGAATAGTACGGACAGCTCGCAGAGCAGGGCCCCACGTAAACGAACATTAAACATCATGAGACAGGCATGAATTGCGCATGGAAGTTCCGAGACTAGCGACTCCTGACCTCAGCTCGGAGTTGTTCCTGAAGCAAGGCATTCTTGTTGTGTTCGCTGGAGAGTTCCTCTTGCAAGGCACTCAGCTGCGCTGACAAGGCGTCCTGGATCAACAAGCCAGGTATGATCATATCAATATCAAGGAATAGAGAGAAAATGTCCAGGAATCCAAGGATTTTAATCCTGAAGAACTTTGGTACATGAGGTGTCCAAAACAAAAATAAAAATACAACTAGGAACTTTAGGCTCCTCCACAAAGTGCAAGGAAGTGGCAATTTGGATAAAAATCAAGTTTAAGGTTAGCTGACAGCTCCTACCTGATGTGCTTATGGCATTACAATGCATCCAGGGACGATCAATGGTCTTCAAATTTCGAAACTATTGTGTACATACTGCAAGTTAATCATTCTGAGTTTCACCTTACTGCCGTCCTGACGACTTGCATTTAGGGAAGTGAAACCTTGTGTTCACAAGCTTAAGCGTACAACAAGGATTGAGTCCATTCGTCTGTGCAATACTTACGGTGTCTTGATTTTTCACGGCTGAGGTCACCTAATCTAATCATAATTAAATAATATAATGGGTTTCACGAGGCAAGCCCACACTATGCTTATGAGGAATGTCGTAATGAGGGGCGTCGGAAATTTTGACAACCCGGTGTTTTTTATTTTGCACAGCACATGAGCCTGTACCATGCGACTGCTACAGCCGGAATCGAACTTCCAACTTCAGACCTAATTATATTTACTGAATGAGGCAATTGCTTGCCAAATTTTATATAATTGTGCACAGACAGCACTTATTACCGCAGAGGAAATGTTTCAGGAAGAGAAGCGCTGGCAGCAACATATTGTGATTAACATGCTGACTATGGCTTACTCGCTACGGCATGTCAGTTGTTTCTTGTATGACGCAAATGTCCTTCCAATGGCAAATGTAGTGGTTCCATGCACATACCTGCCAACCTGGGGACCCCAGAGCTTGGAAGACTCATTAAGAGGTGGGAGGGTGACAAGAAAAGCTGGCGTATGTTATTACATTTTTTAGGATTTATTACCATTTACTCGGGCCACAGAGATGCAACCGACGGCTCAAAATGATAGCAACATTTTCAGAAGGCATCAATCCTACTAGTAATCGTCATTACAGAGTGCATGAATGCATGCGCAATGTGCACAAAAATGTGCCGTGTTATGGAACAGCCTGAAATATCTTCTCAATCTCATAACCCTGCCGTACTCTCCTCTTGTACTATATTTCATCGTCACTTTGAGACTATGTATATATTCCACATCATACGACCATTTAGATTTCTTATTTTACTAATATGGACCCCATGCTACATGTCTCAGTATGACAAACACTATAGATTGGTAAATGTGAATGTCCACACGAATGTGCATAAGCTCACCTTCTCTGCCCTGAGGGTCTTCAGGGATTGCTCTAGCCTTGCCTTCGTTGCCCTGAGGTTGCTTTCCCTGCAAACAACAAGAACATACTAGCTTGACAGAGCTGAATGGGCTAACCCAGCACCACTGTTAAAATCATACCACCAAGCGAATGCATTACATCACAGGCGCATGAGAAAGCATGCTCCCCAACAATGAACAACATGATGTCAAGAAAACCCTCAAGTTGACTTGAACAATGCTTCAAACACCCTTGAAGGGGCTGTGTAATGTTCGTTGGCACTGGACTGCGTGTGGTGAAGCAGTGGAGTACTGGAGTGCACGTGGTGTTGAACACAGAGAAAAACGCAGCCATACATAAAAATTTACGCACAAGAACTGAAGGTACCATTCTTCAAAAGTTCAAAAAATATACAATAAGATCAAAATGTTTCTCAATATTGATTTTGATTTGTTTTCGGTCAGCTTTGTTTGCGGCGTCTTTGGGTTTGTGCGCATCGTGGAAGCGCAGCATAGCATGCATATATATTGGCTTTAAAAAACGACAATAAACAGTTGGTAGTCTGCACTCTTTCCTGTCTCCCTTGTTTTTTTCTTCAAGTTTGTGCAGCAATTCAATTTTTCAAGTATGAACCAACTAGTCTGCAAAAAAGTATTGCTTCTCATTATAATCTGTGTATGACGTCACTGGCTGCTTCCAGTCACCTCAGTCCTCACAGACATGTACAGCAAGTATCACTTTATGGTGACCAATATTCAGCAGGTCAACGCTATGCTGCAAATGTTTTCTATATATGGTATTTAAAAAAAAGGCCTTCTGCATCGGGTAATGTACAACCAACGTTTTCACCTCCTTTAGTGCATACTAGTGGGGCTTATCTGCGACCGTGCACACTTTACCCGCTAATTGGCCTATCAAGCCAATCACAATGCAATGCAACCAGCATCACTGTCACGTGACCAAACATCACATCTGATGCCAAAAATCACCGTTGTGTATCACTTCAGTAAACGCAGGTCAACTTTCTGTTCAAACAAAATTATAACTACACTCTCCCAAAGTGACAAAGTCACATATGCCATGAGCTTACTTCGTTATATCTGAAAATTCGTTATAAACAATTATTTGTGACACTGGATCTATGGTAAAACCACATTCATACTATCAATCAGGTAATAGAGAAATGCTCCGAATATAACCAACCACTATACATAGCCATCATAGATTACGAGAAGGCGTTTGATTTAGTATTAATATCAGCCGTCATGCAGACACTTTGTAATCAGGGCGTCGATGAAGTATATATAAACATCCTGAAAGAAATCTACAGGGGATCAACTGCTACCATAGTGCTTCACAAAGAAACCAACAGAATACCAATCAAGAAGGGTGTACGGCAGGGGGACACAATCTCCCCAATGCTATTTACCGCTTGCTTACAGGAGGTTTTCAGAAGCCTAGAATGGGAACAGTTAGGGATAAGAGTTAATGAAGAGTACCATAGTAACCTGCGCTTCGCCGATGACATTGCATTGCTGAGTAACTCAGGGGACGAATTGCAACTCATGATTACGGAGTTAGACAAGGAGAGCAGAAAGGTGGGTCTTAAAATTAATCTGCAGAAAACGAAAGTAATGTACAACAACCTCGGACAGGAGCAGCGTTTCGAGACAGGTAATAGTGCACTTGAAGTTGTAAAAGACTATGTCTACTTATGGCAGGTAATAACCGCAGAGCCTAACCACGAGATTGAAGTAACTAGAAGAATAAGAATGGTGTGCAGCACATTTGGCAAGCACTCTCAAATTATGACGAGTAGATTGCCACCATCCCTCAAGAGGAAGGTATATAACAGCTGCATTTTGCCGGTACTTAGCTACGGAGCAGAAACCTGGAGACTTACAAAGAGGGTTCAGCTTAAATTGAGGACGACGCAGCGAGCAATGGAAAGGAAAATGGTAGGTGTAACCTTAAGAGACAAGAAGATAGCAGAGTGGACTAGAAAACAAACGAGGGTTAAGGATATCATAGTTGAAATCAAGAAGAGGAAATGGACATGGGCCGGGCATGTAGCGCGTAGACAGGATAACCGCTGGTCATTAAGAGTAACTAACTGGATTCCCAGAGAAGGCAAGCGGGTTGGGGGAGACAGAAGGTTAGATGGGCAGATGAGATTAAGAAGTTTGCGGGTATAAATTGGCAGTAGCAAGCACAGGACCGGGTTAACTGGTGGAACATGGGAGAGTCTTTGTCCTGCAGTGGACGTAGTCAGGCTGATGATGATGATGATCTATGGTAAAGCTACTGGTCTATTACTTCATTATAACAATTAATTCGTTATATCTGAATTCGTTACATTGAGGTGTTAGTGTACAATGTATTTAGCATTTCTACCTGCGCTACAATGTTGCTGCATTTCGCAGTATCAGAAGAAGTGACAAAAACAACCGTTGGCGAGTCAAGTCAATGTCAAGCTTGGATTACGCTCAACATATCCCATCTCTTGTCGAAGTGGCATTAGAACACCCGTTCTTATTTTTCTAAATACAGCTTACAATTTAGATAACGGTGATATATATATACATACATACATATATAGATACATTGTAAAAAAACAGAGAGCAAAAACTACAAGAAAGAAACGGAGGAGACAGAAGAAAGAGTGGACTTGTCTCCTTGTTTTCTTTCTTATTGCTATTATGCTGTGTTTTTTTACTATTAAAACAAGGTACATGAAATTATCAATATTTTAAAAACATCACGCAGTGCCACAAAAATGATTGCTTACTTGAAATCAGCACATAAATATATATAAGCCGTGAAATTTTCATAAAAGTTCGCTGAAGTAGATAATGCTTCTAAAAAAGAGTCCTCCCTTCATAGCCTCAGCACTTTCATGTAAAAAGCAAAGTTGGCTACGAGATAAAGCACATCTGAGAGGAGCACAACCCATTAAAGTTTCTTAAAAATTTTTAGTACTCTTGGTGAAACTTGCTGAGATTTTAATTGTTTATGAACTGATTTCAATATGCAATTATTTTCCAGTGTAAATTATGATATCAAACATTTCATATGGTTTTGGAGACCAAGATTATTTCCGAAACGAAGAGAGTCTCAAAGTACAGCAGCATATCATAATAAACTGGTACTAAACTGGTAATAAAATATGAATGGACATTTTAAGCCCCTTTCAAAAAAATTTAAGGCACAATAAACATTCATGACTGACTGGAATTCTAGCTGGACGTCAGTTCACTCGCCGATGTTTGTGTTATTACAACTTTTGTTCAAATGCGCTAACAACATCTGCTTCATTCTACTCCATAAATATCTGATTTCATATTATTCTAATATGCCAATACGCTTTGCACGTTTTTTCCTCTAGGAGAAAATTCTCCTCCGATAAAGCTCTCAAAATGTTTGATATTCTAAAAACCACATTATGCACTAGAAAAGTGATACCATCGCATAAATCTGCACACAAATATACACAAACTCCTCAAACTTCATCAAACTCAATCCTTTTTCTTTTTTTTTTTCACTTTGTTTTAAGAGATAAGCATTGCAAGGGAAGCCAGTTTCAGCATGCCAAATGAAAACCAAAGTGAGCAAAGTAAAGTGTCTTGGAGAGTTCAAATTCTCCTCACCTGTGCTCGTACTCCTCCATACTGCTCTGCCGTTCCCTCAGCTTGTCGCACTCCGAAGCCAGTTCCTGTTTCTCCCGCTGCAAAGCTGCGTTCTGTACCTCGAGTGTTGTCATGTCGTAGCTGGAGGTCGGCATACTTGTCACTCAGGGTGCGCTCTCTCTCCGCCAACAGCGTCGCGTGCGTCCGACACTCATCTACAGGCAAGACACGAGGACGACCGAATCAAAGTGCAAGTGCTTGAACCCAGCATTCGTTGATGAGTTGAGCTGGGTTCATGTGACAACAAAGTACAACTAGAATGCCCATTTGTAGTAGGGAATGCTGAATGCTGAAGGAAAAAAAAAAAAAAAAAGCTGCATATAGGCAACCTGACAAGCCCCATCACCTTTGAAAACAAAACAAGCAGCAGAAAATAATAGTAGATACTTACATGTTTATATGTGGTTTTTCACAACAAAAAAAATTACGTAACACAAAACAAGATCATGTGGTAATTGTTGAAATAAACAAAAAAGGGGAATCCGAAGGAATTATTTTTGTTTGTTAGACAAAACATTAATTATGTGAGCCAACCGATTTCATTATCCAATGAAGGAGAGACAAGAAAAACGACACAGTGCCAGCCACACAACAATTCAATCACAGCCACTAATTAGTCAATCACAATCAGTGACACAAGTATACATACCACTGGGAAAACACAGTTGTTAAAAAAACAGTAGATATGTTTGACATAATAAAGGCGGTGGTTAGTGAAATGTCGGCATGTTGCCAGAGCTGTGAATACCATGCTGCGGTTCGCACCACCTTCTGTGCCATTGATTCTCGACAGTGAAGACCAGAACAAGAAAATGAAAAATTAAACTCACTCAGGCGGTCTGTGAGACTTCGCTCGACCCTTTCCCAGGAAGCAGATTGCGCGCTGAATGTTGACTGGAGATTCTCGATCTGACGAAGAAGGGGCCTTGTGGCTGCAGTACAGAATAGAATGCATCTAATAGGGGTGCCTACTCTGACAGTCACATCCGTGGTTTATTAACAGAAGGATAAAAATATCTCATTATATATACTCAATGCACAAACAGCCAGCACTACATTAATTGAATTATTTCGTGCTACTGTGCTCAAGATCATATACAACCAACTAGCCCAAGGGTAAAGAAAATAACAGCATAAAAAGACAAGGAGAAAAAAAAACGAAGACCACAGGTCAAACGATGACTTCAAAATGAATAGTTTATAACGAGAAAACCAGCCTTTTATGCATTCTCAGGATAAACATGTGTATGTCAGACATTCAGAAATAACACTTTCTTTTTTCAAGAAGCCCATTTCTTTCAGTGATAGTAGAAGAGATCACGAGCTAACAGAACTGTCAGTTTCGTATCGGGTCCAAAATACCTCTGCTATTTATCTTAGATTCTCCTTTTCCTATAAGTTTCGTCCCGATCGATTGCAAATGCGACAACTGTGTTAGTTTACCCTCTCTTCTACAGTTGCAGAAATAGACTTCTTGAAAGAAATGCACATGTTTCTTTAAGAGAAAGTATAAAAGGATGGTTTTCTTGTATAGACATTAACCTCATAGTCAGTGCTTCTCCCATGGTCTTTGTCACCCTCGTCTTTTTCATACTGTTCCTTTCTTTGCTCCGATTATGAATCAATTAGCCCTAATCAAATTGTTACTAATGCAAAGCCTAACAGTAACACCAAAGCATCAACACAATGTAGAACTAACTAGTCAACTCTTCATTACAATACTGATTGTTGGCCTAGTTGGTACTTGCTTACTGACATGCTTTGGCCGCTGTTTGTGTGTGTTATTTGCGGCCAAAGCATGTCAGCTTTCATTACATTCTGTTTGGTGCCAAAGCCCAGAAAAAAAGTCTGGTACAGCTCTACGGCAAGCAGCGCGTAAAAGAAGTAAAACATAAAGGGGAGAACGCATACTTCATGAACAGCATGAAAAAAAAAAAGGGACAAAAAAAAAAGAGTAGAGTGCTGCACCGCATTCTTCTTTTCTATTCTTTTTTTTTTTTGCAGTGGCCATTAAACATGCATTTGTACTAACTGGCACAGTTTTTCATCCCACTAAAAGAAGGCCGCGGTAATATTCTTGCGAAATGAGTTCAGAGTGTCCAGCTATCCTGATCTGTTTGCATGCTATGTGCGATGGTTGCATGACATTTCAAGATAGGAAGGATAAACAGAACAACTTAATTGTTATCGCCTTACCAGATGACAGGTTTTGTGTTATCTCCTGATTCCGTGCTTCAGCCTCTTGGAGTTGCTAGGGTAGAGAACACAAGATTAGAATATTTGTGGCTGATAAAAATATGCCAGAAAAATAAGCAAATTAGGTTTCAAGTACATTTCAAGTATACTAGTGTATACTGTAGCCTTTTTTGTATGCCTTGTAGATGGGGGCTCGAGCGCTTCTCGAATGAAGTGATTTTAACTTTCTGCCTGAGCATTCCCACATTATGATGATGCAAATAAATTTCAACTACAACTTCAAAGCAAAATAAAAGAGTGGTGAAGTTGTAATTGATTCATGGTGTATAATTAAAACAATGAAGAAAGCAGAAATCACACGAACAGAACATTGCATTTCCTTCTGTACTGTATGCTTTTATAAAGCAAACTTGTGCTAAGGAGGACATGGGTGAACCAAAGATGCAACAGTTCCCATTTACAATACACTGATACTCGTATAGTTTATATGTCAAATAAGGTCTTGTGTCTGTGGCACAAGTTGCTGTGGTGGCTTATCCAAGGATAACAAAAACATACATTACAACAGGAATCTTGCTTTTAAGTTATATTGTTGCAATGACAACACACTTGCCTCTTTTGCCAAAAAAATGGTGCGACAATCTGTATTGTACCTATCAAAATCATATCAGTGTGAATACCACCAGAATAGTTTCATTCTGCTACACTCAAACCTCAGTTATAACAAAGTTGCATTTTACATGAAGGTAAGTTTGTTATATGAAAAATTCGTTATAAAGGTTTATTTCTTACAGTGTATCTATTGCAAGTCTATTTTTCATTTACTTCGTTACAGATAACACTTTGTTATATCTGGGTTCGTTACATCGAGGTTTGAGTGTATTGCAGTACAAAGAAGAACCAAAGTACAGGTCCTGTAGAATTATAGTACTTTGGGACCCGCAAACATACATTTTATGCATTATAATTATCATGTTGTGTAATCATAAAATTGACTGATGGATTGAAGCAGACACAAGAATGACCCAACCAGCCGACATGAGTACCTGCTGCAACTCTCGAATGCTGGCGTGCAGATGTTCTTCCCTTCGCTCGCTACGTTGGTCTGCCATGGCGAGTGCAAGCTGCAGTTCTTCGATGCGCTGTAGCAGTGACGTCTTCTCGGCCAATGCTTCGGAACGTGCCTGGTCCATGGCCCTGGACGTTTGTTCCAGTAAACTTTTTTAATGTGGAGTCTTCAGTACAAAGTACACCAGTGTTTTGGACACAGTTTTTCAGCCAATTTTCGGGTAAACAAAACAAAAGATAACCTTTTCCAAGCTAAAATTGTGATAAGATTGGTACAGAAGACTCAGATGACAAAGAAGAATGTGGCTTTCACCTTCCAGTCGTCTCAGATAAATGCATTAAAGATCGTGCAGTTTTCTGTCTTTTGTATTGTCCTTGCAAAGCTGTCTAGTTTGTGGGCTACAGAAATGGAATGACTCTAAAAATGGTCACTGTCCCAATGGCTGTCTATACAGCCACATGTGGTGAATACTGAACACACACACAGCTGCCTGCCCAGCCTAATATTTATTGAGATCAGTGAGCAATAATTAAACAATTTGCCATGGTTACTAAACATAAGTTTGCACATTGGGCAGAGATATTTCACAATTTAAATAATATGATTTCTCTGCAATAGTCATTATGTTCCTTGTAGTTCCTTATACAAAATGTTTTTAAATGCTTTTGTTAAGGTATTTCTGTTTTGACATACTCTTTTCTGCTTGTTTCTTGCTGACAAATTTTGTACCACACTTCACGCACACGTCAAAGTAAATGTGTCAGTGGTTTTTACTGTATGTGCTTAGATGATGCATCAGATTTAAACCTTTATTGCCTGTATTCACTATTTTCACTATTAGCCCTTTGTATTATTATTATTCTAATAGCAATGATATGGACACTCTCGGGTGAATTTTGCCGCCGGCACCGAAGTTGCCGTCACTCACCGTATATGTATACGTATCTATATAAATGAAAATGCAAGAAAGAAAAAAATAATTCAGAAATAGACTCTGGTGCACGGAATCCAACGTGGGAGCCCTGAAACATGAGCGCAAAGCGTTAGCCACTGAGCCACGGAGGAGCACGCCCTTCAACGTTCAAACGGCAAGCTATTTATATCTACCACTTACCACTGGTGACGGGTATTTCGTGGGTAGTCGTGTTTTCAGCATTACCAGCAAGACGACCCAATGAGCGCGCATCACCACATCGTCATGATGTGGTGGCGCGTGCTTTCATGTCCCAAGCATACTTTACTCCGCGGAGAGTAAGGGGGTGGGCACTCACTCGCGCGCCCTTATCTCGCAATGATAGGACCGTACGTCTTGCCTGGCCTTGGACTTTGACCGGAACGATTCTGTTGTAGTTGCCGGGCGCACAAAGGTCACAGCAATCGTTGCACAGTCTCTGTTTGCGAAAAGGGCGCGCTTTTGAGAGACAACGAAGTAACAACCGAGACGCTTATTTGCGTTCATTTGTAGCTGTGAATACGTTTCATGCATCATTTGCGCGTGAGAAATGCGGGGCACGTTTCGATTTGCTTGCCATTTGGTTGCTATTGTGTTCATTGCTTCACCTTTGTGGCAAAGCTGCAACTTTTTTTTTTTTTATATCTCGCTGGCATTCCTCAGTCTCCTTTACTGCCCAATGATAAATAAAACTTTAGTTAACTAATTATCAATTAATTAACTCAGTTACATACTTCGTTCAAGGTAGCAAGAAGCATAGCCTACCTGCGAATCTCTTCACCAGCAGCCATTTTGGCACTCAAAGATGCCTCCTCTGCTTGCCTCTCAAACTCAGTGTTGGCATGCTCCAACTCTGCTATCTGACTGCAAGATTGCAAAATGAGTAAGAGAACTGTAAGTGGACAATCTCTACCAAACAATGCCCCACAAATGAGCTGACTTAAGACAGATGAAATGTGCAGTGAACATATGGCTGGTGAACATGGTGTGATACATCAGTAAAGGTCAGTATTACACTGAAACGAAAGTTCGAAGACAAAGCTAAAATCTACTTTTACTATAGGAAAAGAGATATCAAAGTAATACGATGAAAATTAGCAACTGTCATCTCTGTGCCAAACAAATAGCTAAGTAGCATGAACTATTTTTTTTTATCTCATTTGTTTCAAACAGGCTGTTACACTTTCAACTCTTTCTGAAAGACCATGCCATTACTGACAATGCGCATTGCAATCGCAGACCACGCAAGCTCATGCCAGTGTAAGTTTGCAGACTGTCTAACAGCTCAATGCCTGTGGCCGAGGGTCTCACGGCAAACATGCACGTCATTGCAATCTAGTTGACCTGTTTGCTCACTTGCTGCACTGATTATCAGAATTTATGGCTGCAACCACAAGTTGTGCTTATCACAAAGCAGCTGCTCGCCAGCCCGGAACTCTTTCGTCTGACTTTAGCACCGTTTCCAAAATACAGAAAATTAAGAAGTTCCCAGCACGAAATGCTCTCGTCAGCAGAATGGATCGGAATAAAGTGCCAGCCGTTCTCCCAGCATAGCTCCTTCAACTATGCCAAGTGATCGACTAGGTAACGTCGCGTTGCACATGACATCAGCTGGCAAATCAAATGGGCCAAATGCAACTCATGTGGGCCAGCCACATGTGACATAGTAACATTTGACTGGCCCAACATGCTAGAAACTATTAAGGTAAAAATGTGATGCCATCAGCAAACCTCGTAGGAGTGCCCAAACTAAATTTGCTTGAACCCCCCCCCCCCAGAAAAAGCTATTTCCTGCCACAAGAATGTGTCAATGCATGCAGTATCTAAGTTTGCACTGCTCACCTGTATGCAATGTCAAGCTTACTCATGGCTTCTTCCAAGTTGCTTGTTGATTCGTTCAGGGATTCCTAATTTGAAAAGCGAACGTTAAGTCTCAAGGATGCAACAACAGCAAAGAAAAGACAATTCAACGCTACACCCTAAACTTTTAAGTACAAAGAAGTTGGGCACCTGAAGTGCTATGATAAGATTTGTTTTCCTCACAAGGACTGGCTCTCATCATCAGAATAAACCAAGCAACGATGGCTCTAACACTTTATGAAAACTCAGCATTCCACCTGAAATTGACGATGCTCTAAAAAGCACTGTTGTTAACAGCAGATAAAGTGTATACCCTCTCCGTTTATGCCAGTTTTCACAAACAGAAACCCCAATGTCCCGATTGTGACCTCATTCATATCCCGAAAGTCCTCTAACATACCTAGTCAAAACACAATGGTAACAGCTGTAGTAAGCAAACATATTCAAAACACAATAATTAGTAGTTAAGTAAACGATCGAGATAGATTGAGTTTTATAATTTGCAATTGTCTTATGAAACAAATACAAAAATGCATTTCATAGAAAAAGGGCAAAGCTGTAGTTAGTGTTCCAAGCATAGGAGTGACAGCATCAGTACAACAGGGAAGCTCACTAATTTAGATTTCATGGGACCAATAAAATTGTCAAATTGAATTCTGAATTGGCGAAAGTAACAAGAAAATCATAAACAAATGTCTCTTACATCAATGCTCAGTGCGAAGAATGTACTATCCGCGTAAAATAAAACCCGAACAGCAGCAAGTTTTTGCAATGGTGTAATGCGCACCGTCCAGCTATTGACACTGACCACATGCGCATCTTGTCCAGCAGCCGTGGTGATTAGTGGATGGCATGTGCTACACAATTGCAAAAACTTGCCGATGTTTGGGTTTCATTTGACATGGATGGTACAGAGGCCTAGTCAGGTGACTCAATGTTGCCTTTCATATCCTACACCCCGGCTAGCGTGTATTGTCAAACAAATAAAAATGTTTTAAAAAATAAAAAAAACTTGGCTATAATTTTCTTGATGAATACGTAAGTCTTATGCTTACTTTGCTTAAGAGCGTTGTAAAAGCCGCAATTCTTACCACCAGTTATTTGTGTACAATGTGACCACACCTCCACACCTTCGTATCTTGGCTAACCTAAAACATGCAAACCCGGAATATTGTTACCGGAATATGATGAAGTTGACGCTGATAACCATGTTGCAGCCTGTGCCACCTTGGTTCGTTTTTCTGTGAACACTGTTTCTGCTGCTTTGCGTTGCGCACGTGCAGTGATCCATGTTTGGCCCGTTCTATCGATATAATACGTATTAACCTGGTTGAAACCAAATGTGCCCAAATCCATGAGATTTTGATGCCACCAAATAATACATGTGCTTGCCGGCACAATGTAATGCATTGAAATAATGTGATTTTTCAAATTAATGGAGATAGAATTAACGAGCCTCTACTGTAGAAGATCAAACAAACTGTCAGAAACAATGTTAAAAGGCCAAAAAATTGCAAGCTGTATATGTGTTCACAATCCATTAAAGGTGGTGTTCGAAGTTGGAGCCCCCCAACTGGAATGGAGCCTCCCAACTGTAGCCAGTTGGGAGGCTCCATCCATACTAAAACCTACCTATGCCCATGGAAAAATTTGTGAAGAATAGCAAATTTATGACACTCGGGAATGATGACGGAAAACGCTACGTTGCAGTACTCATCGCAATCATTGCACAAGTAGCAAAGGTGAGAATTATACCTACACTAAAAACACAATCAAGAAGTGCTGCAAAATCATTTACAAAATTGTAAGCCCCAGATGCAAACACACTGCCACGTAAAAATGCCATTAGTTACCTTGTTTTTCTGCCTACAGGTGGAGCCACAATAAGCGAACCAATGCGATTCTGGCCAATGGTGCATCAAAATTTTGGTACATGAAACACAGAGGGAGTAGAGGGAGCTTCACAACTCATCTGAGAGGCGTTGCGAGTGTGTGTGTGCCCTTAATTTGTGGGCTTCTGCCGCACTCAAACATTACATTGTCTCACCTGAAGGGCTGTTGCTTCTCGTTCCAGCTTTTGTGTCGATGAGGTAAGGTGCCGTATTGTGTCTGGCAAGTGACAAGCAAAAAAGGCGAGGGAATTGAAATTGTTAATCAAGCTAAGCAGAAATTGCCCCACTTTCCCAAACTTGCCCCACTTTTCCGAAAAAAGAGAGCACTTACCAATATGCTTCTTCTCCTGTTCGTCTTTTGCACTCAGAGATCTCCGTAGCCGGTCAAGCTCCTTGCTCTGCTCTTCCAGGCGTTCCCTGGGGCAGGCACAGAAAGCGAACACAATCACCAACCACGGCATTTCAAGCTCTCGCCCTTTTCTGAAGTGGAAGGGTAACAATATCACCGGAAGTATTGGCGCAATTCGCACAAAATTCCAAAGAGAATATTTCATTCCAAATTTTAAACCATAGACTTCAAGCTTCCTCTTTCCTGCACAATACGGTGTGGAAACAAACAAAACAGTTTTGATGCGAGTAACAAGAAAAAAAGAACCTAGCATATTTTCTTACATTCTGAACGACACCATAATAACAGAGGTTGACCAGTATAAATACTTAGGCGTCACGTTTAATAACAAACTTACTTGGTCAGATCATATATCTCTTACATGCTCTTCAGCCTTGCACAAATTGTGGTTTTTGAAAAGAAAGCTTAGCAAAGCTCCGGCGAGTACAAAGCTTTTGGCATACAACGCAATTGTGCGCTCAAAACTTGAATATGCAACGGTTGTATGGGATCCTCACACCAAAAAAAACATCATGAATTTGGAGTGTGTGCTCCAAATTCACACTGTCATGGGGCAACAAATACAGGCACACTTTCATGGCACCCCCTATGCCATAAATCATAATCCATGTGAACTAGGGAAGCGCCCATTATGCCATTAACCGTCTCTTTGTGGATAAACGAGGTAACTGCCACATATCTCTAAGGCATTATGTGCACTCTTTTCTGCTGTATGTGGCTGACAGCAAAGAATTACGGCTTAGCAGTGAGCATGTAGAATTAAACCATACATGCATTGCGCAATTAGCATTGTGTGGTGCCTCATTGTTATTTTACTCCTCGTCCATGCTATATTTTACATAGGCTAATGCGTTTCCTTGCCTGGCATGACAACTGTATAGGTTCTTTTTGCAAAGGAGTTTCATGCACGAGTGTGGCTGTGTGGTAGAATACTTGACTGCGGTGCTGAGGGCCAGAATCTTATCTTAGGTCATTTTTTTTCTCTTTTCACTTCTTCTTATTTTGCACAATGGCGGCTGCCGAAAACTACGGCACTGTTTTTATGACCTCGCAACAGCTTTCGCTGCAACTCTGCATTTGTGAGTTTTCATGACACACCTTTCTTACCAATGCGTTTTCAATAACAGATAAAGACAAGAAGGTAAGAGAAATAAAGTCATGCACATCAGTATCTCAGTGCTTTTCTTTTTTTTTTCTATTATGAACATCCATACTTGTAGATGTTGCTTTAGCAATAAACTTGTTCTTCGTTAAAGAAGACTAACTATCACAATGTGATACAGGGACACCGTATAACTTTCACATCGTTGTAGAATAATAATGACAATGCCACCCACTTGTGAGTCTTGATCAGGTTCTCCATCTCCTTTTCTTTGGTGCGCAGTTTCTTGATGATTGTCGATTGTTGCAGGTGCTGCTTGGACAACTTCTCTCCTGGGAATGCCAAGAAGCGCTCGTGCGTCAGAGGGGTGCATGCGATCATCCTAGCAAGCCCGCAAGCGATGCAACTTCCGACCAGCACATCAACACTTGTGGCAAGATATCGCATTCCAAGCGAGAGGAGAAAAAAAAAATGCCAATCACCTTCTGACATGAGCTCGGCAATCTGTTCATCCTTCTCCTTGAGCAGAACATCCATCTGGGAGATGCTCACCCTGAAAAAAATAAAAAATAAAAAAAAAGCTCGAAAAAGGAAGGTCTTTCCTATGCATCATACAGATACAAAAAACCGCTCCATTTTGCTTGCAATTTGCTTACCAGTCGCGTTTTACTTAAATTACCAGAGAGGTACAAAGCAGCAACCGAGTCTAAGTAGGAGCACGCATGATTATAATGAGCGGGGCACATATTGCACCAAATAGAATAAAGTGTTAATATTAATTGTATAATCGTGATTATATAATGATGAGGTCTGTGTACTTTCATGACTTTCCATCAATCACAACACTGATACAACAAGATTATTTTTTAAATACACTACAGAGCTACGAACTGCCACAAGATGTCATTACCAGTATTGTTTCTGCCATCCACAACTCCAGCGACCCGATAAACTGCGAATGGTAACTATAGTCAGGTACAACTTAAGAAAGCAATGGCATTTATCCCCTCAAAGGCGGATGTAAACTAAAATCCACCAATAACCAGTACACTTCAGGTGACGTCTTGTGCCGGACCACATTCCAGTCACTGACCCAGCCAACGGAGAACATGCCTAACATGGCCGCCCTCGCTTCGAACTAGCTAAGTCCCAATGGCTGTGTGCGTCTCCCTTCGTCAGAGTGAATACAAATGATTTGTGATGGTCTGTCATACCAGAAATGTTATTGCGAGCTTAGGATACACAATTTGTGCCACGTGTGTTTGTTCTGAGCCGTGATCCGGCGAGGAGAGATTGCAGCGAACATCGGGGACTCTGCGCTGCGCTTCGTCAGGAAACAGGATCCCATGGCGACATACCTATGCCAACAAACATAGAGTGTGTTTGTATCATGGTGTTTTATTTGCACATAAATCAAGTTACGACGAGGAGAGTTTGCCAAAGCCTGGTATCTGCTGTGAGCGAAGGGTGTGCTTGCGTACAGTGCCCCTGCGTTTCTCATCGGATGTGGCGAAGTGATGGAGCAAAACCATTATCCGGATAAATGAAAAAAATTGTGCGCAGATCAAACCAACCTACGAGTTTATCAACAGAAAAGATTTGAAACAGCAATCTCCAACACAAAGATTCGTTGGTGCCAACAGAGCGTACAAACGACCGATCAACGGCGGCAGTGTGACAAGACAGCAGAGCATCAAGCAGCATCCTTCGAGTGTTCTGTAGCACAGTCAATCGATTGCTTTCCACTAATCCTAACAATCAGTGACTAGCACACTCTGCTTCAGAGAATGTCATAGTTTACAGGCAAACTAAACTTTTGTAATTCAATATTCTTGGCTGCCAGCTCATTTTCTAACCTGTAGCAGAAAACCTCACGCACAGTATAATGGAAATGTCGACACCACGTAGCGCGGTGTAGACATCAGCGCGGTGTCGTCTCTTTCTCTGTCCTTGTCTATATTTGTGTGCTGTTTTTACTTCCCAAGTAATGCAATCAAAATCAAGGGTAATAAGTAACGTGCACATGCTCGCAGTCCTTTTGTCATCACTCCATGAACATCATGTGCAGCTTGCCCAAGGGCTCCAGCGTGTCTCAATTCTCATCTTCTGAGAAATATTGCTCTTTCAGTGTTTTGCATCTCTAGTAAATTTGCTTGGCTTTTGCAACAAATTGTGACCACTATGGACCAACTTCTGCGAGGGTCGATAAAAACGACGCGTCCCTGGTTCAAATTAACTACTGGATATCAACGCGTTCGAATTATTGGAAGTTTTCCTTATAGAAATATGCAGGGCTGTGCCAGGACATCAGTTCAAACTAGCTGTTAATTTCAAATTAAGCCAGTTTGAATTAATGAGCTTTGATTTTATGATCAAGCAAGTGTACTGAACCTGGAAGCAATTTCAAGGTGAATGCTGCCTGATCAGCCCAGTTCAGCATCCTCTTATAGTATTTCCTTGCACTTCAAGAATATCTTGAAAAACTTCCATCTTTGCACAAAAGTTATCTTTCACATGTTCATCATGCTTTGTAGAAAAACGCCACCATGACCAAATGAACTCACTTGGACACAGCTTCCTGTTGGACAGCCTCGAGTTTGGCTTTCAGAGAATCTCTTTCCTGAAAGATAAAAAAACAATAAGAAAATACATCAATACTGTGAAACATTCTCCTGGCTAACAATGATACGGACAGGAAGACACACCACACGCCGACAATTTAAAGAAGTTAGTGGGGGATAAAGAGAGTGGTTTCTTTGTATCGCCTAACCCAGAGAACCATAAGAAAGTGGATGAGGCTATCTCGAAAAGCTTTATTAAACTGTGTCTGTCTGGCGCTGTGTGTCCCCCTATGGTGCCCATGTCTTTGTTAACTAGTAAAATGTTTCGCTGTATTCACCCAAACCAAACAGCCCAGCTGTCAGCCCCTATCGAAAGATATAAAGAGTACACTATTAAAAAAAAAAAGATAGTGTCTCAAAAGCATAAGGTTAACACATGAACTTAGCAGCGCTGTAGGTGCAACAATATCGATAACTGAGCTAGTTCAATGTATTCATGCTCAAAACATGTTAATCATAAATAGTTCAGTGACGATAATGGTTCAATCAAAAGTTCGATGCTTTACAAAGGGAGTTCTTGTGTCAGAGGCAGTTGCTGTTAACTGTTGAGCATAATTACGATTACTTTCTAATATTGTAAGCACAATAGTCACAGCATTTGACCTTCATCTTTTTCATCTGTATATAATCATCATCACGAGGAACGTAGTATTTGTTCGAAGCGTTGTTCAGGCGATTCAGCCTAATAAACGCAGTCACGTCCCTAATGCTGCTACTGTTTTGCAGAGTGGTGGAGGCTGCTTCGATAACCAAGTCCTCTCCGACATACGTTCCCCTGGAGCTTGATTCAGGTCGCCGCTTGCTTCCCCCGTCCGCTGTTCTGGCTCAAGAAATGCTGCTCGAATCATCCTGCATCCCTGTGCAACAAACCATTCCTGCCTGGATCATCAGTGCCCGAAAGCGCAACCCACCTATCTTTTTCGATTTTCCACACGATGACGTCGAGGTATGGCTGAAGGAAGTTCATAACCAATGGGATGAGATGCAAAAACTTCGTCACGTTGCCTTAATCTGTCAGATGTTGCAAAAACGTGGTTTTTTAACCACGAGAGCAGCTTTCCGAGTTGGCCTACTTTTGCTCAACAAGTTCGTAGGATTTTTGGGAAACCGAACATCTATTCCAAAGTGTTGAAACGAAAGCTCAATGGGCGTGCCCAACATCCCGGGGAGAAGTACACTTGGTACATTGAATACGTCCTTGCTCTTTGCCACCACTTGAACTTGGCAACGACAGAGGCTGATCGTGTTCGCCCCATCCTCAAAGGAATAGACTATGTTGCATTTAACGCTCTGGCTGTCGAAAACCCCACCACCGTTGAGGACATCATCACCACATGTCAACATCTTGATGAACTCCAAGCCATGCGATTGCACCCAGACTACCCAGACGCCAGTGACAGCCGGCCTTCTTCTGATGTGGATTTGCGCACGCTGATTCGCACTCTGATTCGCGAGGAACTTCAAGCGCAAGGGTCGTCATGTACACCCGCCCCTCGGTTTCACTGTCCATTTGCTGGTCCGCGCAACATTATCAAAAAGGAGCTCTCATCCATGGCTTGCGCTCTCCCTTCCAACACTCCGATGCCACCAACGCTGCCCATGACGTATGCGCAAGTCGCTGCCATGCCACCTGCCTTGGTTCAGCACACGCATCCTGTTTCTGCGCAGTCCAACGTAGCAGCATTGGCACCACACTCGCCTGTCCCAGCGCCAGTACCAGCACCTGTCCCTGCTCCAGCATTCTATGCCCCCTGGCGCTCGCCTCGCCAAATATGTTACTATTGTGGCATTCAGGGCCATATTTCACGATTTTGCCGCAAACGCCAGCAGGACAAACGCCGTGGCTACGACATTTACCAAAGGGATTCGGTGTACTCTCCAAACCAGTACCAGCGCCGCCCTACGACACCTTCCTTCCCTCCGACTTCTCCACTCGCCGCACCTCGCCCATACTATCCCGGAAACCGCCGGTCCTTTTTATCTCTGCGACGCTCAACATCTCCTTTGAGACCAGCTGTCCCTACTACTGACTACCACTCGGAAAACTAGCTGGTGTAGTTTTTGGAGGGAAAGCTGCATCACTCGAACAAACACCAAGACCTCCAGAGTGCCCAGCCAATTTGTTATTAGAGTATGCTGAAGGAGAGCCAGTTCAAGCATTCGTGGACCCGAGGGCTGCTATTTCTGTTATTCATGCGGATTTGTGTTCTCGTCTACGTAAGGTTACTACACCTTGTACTAGCACTCTCTTATGCAACGCAAATGACTCGCAGATACGGCCATCAGCACAATGCACCAGAGTTTTCATTGATGGAATCCAACACCTTATTCAGTTCGTTCTGTTGGCTTCTTGTGCTTTTATGCTTATTTTAGGATGGGACTTTCTTTCTGATGCTGCTGCTTCTGTCTCTTGTCGATGACTCATATGCGAGAGACGGATGATATCTCCCCGAATTAATCACGTAACCAGCTACGAACAGTCAACGTCTTCCTTGTGCCACCGAACCATGATCACGTTATCACCGTTATGTCTGACTTCACTGACCACGGTGACATCCTAGTCACTCCATCAGCTCGTTGTCTATCCAGAGGGATTGCACTTTCATCGAGTCTTGTCCGCTTCTTCAACAGCACCGCCTTTCTCGCTGTACTGAATATCACCAATGAGCCGATTCTGCTTACCAAGGGCACTTTTGTAGTTTCCAGTGTGGACACACAACCTATCTCTGTAGTGGCTTCGGATATCAGTCTGGTGGAGCTGTGCGCCCAGCTGCTTGGCCAGGTTGACCCTGGTTCCCTGACGCGTCGCGACCAGCCTGCATTCTATCGTCACCGATGGGTCCACACTCCTAAAGCCAGAGCCACCACGTTCCGGTCTGGTTTCTCGACGTGTCGTCAGCAGCCAGCGTTCCTTCATTCCTGTCCTGCCCGCGTCCTGAAGCCGGAATCACCGCGTTCCGGTTTGCTCATCGTCGCCGGAATTCAGCGTGTGGGTGAGACCGAACAGATATCTTGCCCTACTCCACCACTCAGCCCCATTCCGACGTTAGATTCAATTGAACACTTTGAACTTCTTTGTCGAGTGTTGATAGATACATTTGACCGGGTCCAGTTAACTGTTTATTAGTTGTTTCGTTTTATGAAAGATTTTCGTCTTTTTACTTTTCAATTAAACTTCTTGTACGAGTTTTGGTACAAACGGCTTTGTCCCTTTGTTAAGTCTCTCATAGGTTTAAACCTTAGAGAGCTCTTTTTGCTAAACATCTAAAAGAAACTTGCATCACAGTCTCATCCTTCGAACGCCCGCGCCCCTCGACAGCTGTGGAACTTAAACACCGAAAACTCTATCTTTTGCCGCTTTGTCTTCCACCCCGAAGGACAGTGCTGAGTTCCTGTCGCTCCTTGTTCCCTAAGGGCACAGATTTTGGAGGGGTTTCACAATATACCCCCCAAGGCTGGTCAGCTCGGTTTTCAAAAAACCTATGAATGCATCCACAGTCGTCTTTCCTTGCCTGGGCTTTCCACCTGCGTAGCGCGGCATGTTGCATCATGCTCGCTCTGCCAACGCCGCAAGCAACCCACTTCCTTCCCCCGCTGGCGCCGGTCTCCTACGACCTCTCCCGTGTCCTAACGCTTCTTCGATGTCATCGGGATAGACCTCTTCGGACCACTATCAATATCAGCTAACGGTAAGCGCTGGATTGTCACAGAAGTTGACCACTTGACAAGGTATGCTGAAACAGCTGCATTTCCTTCAGGATCAGCACAGGACATTGCCACATTTTTCCTGGAGGCAATCTTTTTGAGACATGGTCCTATTAAGACATGGACCAATCCTATTGAGCGAGTGCGGAACTACTTGAACACATTCTCCACACATGTAATACAATTCATAAGACGACTTCCAGCTACCATACCCAGACTAATGGCCTCACAGAGTGCTTTCATGGAACTTTGACCGATACGATATCATGTATATCAACGCCAACCACACCAATTGGGATACCATCCTGCCGTTCGTGACTTTTGCATAAATACCGCTACGCAGCGCACCACGGGCTATTCCCCATTCTTTTTCGTCAGAGGCCGTCAACCGACATCTCCGTTCATCTCCTTTTTTGAAGTCCCTGTGAACTCGTCGTCTTCATCGAGTGAGCACTTAATCTCTTGCCTGGTCGGTTGTTGCCGACGTGCCTGCCTCAATACAGAGGTAAGCTAACAAAAGCGAAAGACTCTCTATGATGACGTCCACCGTGTAGTTCACTTCAACACTGAAGACCAAGTACTATTGTGGACCCCAACGCGGGTTCCTGGCCTGTGCGATAAATTTCACTCAAGTTTAATCGGCCCCTACGCTATAGCCCGAGCAGACATCTCCTGTCAACTACCGAGTAACCCCTGTTGTCATGCCTTCCGACAGCTGTTTTCGTGGTACGGAGGTTGTTCATGTGTCGCGCTTAAAACCATTTGTGCGACGTATATCGCGGTCATAAACAGTGGCCAGGTTGGCCGCTTCTGCGCGAGGGAGAAATTAGTGTAAGCACAATATTCACAGCTTTTGACCTTCATCTTTTTAATCTGTATATAATCATTATCGCAAAGAACGTCGCCTTCGTTCGAAACGTCGATCAGGCAATTCAGCCTAATAAACACAGGCGCGACCCCAACGCTGCTACTGTCTTGCAATATTAACCAATAGTTATTTTCACAGCTGCTTATTATGAGGGGGTGGGGTGTGTGTGAGGGGCCCCCTCTTTTCACATGGTAAGGCCTACACTAGCATAGGGCGTTGCCCAAATCACTGAGCACTTCATTTGTCGGGACTCTAATCAGTTCAAACACCGTGTCATTGGAACAAACTTCCAGTCCTCCTGGAATTTGAACATATTCTAGGAGGACTGGAATCTGTACTACTTCCCGTACGAACAATGACTCAAAGGCGTCTTACCTTGCATGTGTCGAGAAGCTTAGTTTCCAGGCGGGCGAGGCGGTGGGTGAATTCCTGCGTCAGTCGTGACGTGTCCTGATTGTCCTTTATCCGCTGCTGCTCGGATTTCTGCAATGCACTGCGTATTGAACAGTTCTGGTGGTTTAGATGGCACACTGCAACTCCCATGGAGTGGCACAGGTGCAGAACCAAGAAAACTCACACTAAAGCTGTTGCACTATCCCCATAAGCATGCGCAGCATTCCCCTTCAGGGGAGGGGTGAAGGTTCATCACAGCACACCCCCTATGATGCCATCGCAGTATGGTGCTCACTTTGTGCCCCCCTTTTGCCCCCCCCCCCCCCCACCCATGATGTTAATGTGTAGGACTGACTTTGTGCTAGCTGCTGTCACGTAGTACGTGCAAACTTCTTAGTCTCAGCTGCCCACCTAACTTTTCGTGTATCCGTCGTGCATTTGGCGTGTCTTAGAATCCAGCGGTCAGTTACCCTCAGTGACTGGCAGTTATCTTGCCAAGCACTACATATTTTAACATATATTTTAAAAGCACTGCAGCTTGTCCCCCTTCTCCTCTTGTGTCCGCATAGTCGTGCGCTGTGTTAAAATATGTTCAAGTACTGTCTCCAACTAGCCCAGCTTTCAGTCCTTCTACCCACTACATGCCTTGCCCTGGCCCTTTCTTCTTCAATGATTCGACTAAACTGTCCTAAACAACAGTTTGCTCCACGACCGACTCTGCTCTTTTCCTGCTTTTAAGGTTACACCTATCATTTTTCTTTCTCTGGCAGACTGTGTCATCAATTTAGGTTGAACCCCTTTTGTAAGCCTCCAGCTTTCCAATATTGTCACGGGGTCGTGCCGTGGCCGAAGACAGGAGACTTTGCGTTGGAATTTAACTGTTTATTTGGGCGAACCTGTGCCCGGTAAACGGAAAGTCCGGTTACAGTAGCAGTCTTGAACTGTAGCGGCGAACGGAGCGTCGGCCGTCGATCAACTACTGACAAGCAGCGAAGCGAGTCGGCATTTATACTCTTGCCGTCGAATGTTCTAGTGTTATCGCTGGCGGTGGCGTAGGTTCCAGAATAATCTGTACCGTTCGCAGAGTGGGCGTGATCTTATCGAAATGATCTACTACAGCCCAGAAGCTTCTCGAAAACTGCAGGCGCGGTTTTCGCTGAGAATAGTGTAGTGTTTTGGGACGATAACAAAACTTGGGAAATGGAACGTGGCATCGCCCCCCTCTGAAAAAGGCATCGTCCCGATGCTTTAACTAAAGATGAAGGTACAACAATAATGCAAGAATGTACAATGAATAAATTACGATACAATAATAATAATAAAAAAAAACACTGTTTCAGTTTGTTAACACACATGAAACGGCTTGAGGCGCGCGACATGGACGACTTCAGGTCACGATCGTCTGCTCATGCGAGAAGTAAAGTAGGAATTCTTCACCGGGCTGATCAGAAACCCACCAAAGACGGTCGCCGAATTCATTTCAGAAGCATCTACGATAGAGAAGACGCTCGAGATGTGCACGCGGCAATATAACCGTAGCTTCTCATGTACAAGCTACGCCGGCATTCAAGCGCTTCGAACCACTGACTTGCGGGAGACGATCCGAGCGATCGTGCAAGAAGAGCTGCGAAAATTACCTCCTTCAGCGCAGCCTCACGTGGAATCCATTGCGGATGTCGTACGCCAGGAGATCCAGCAATCGCTGGGCGTCTCTCAGCCTCAAGAGCCTCAGCTGCAAGCCATGAACTATGCTGCTGCAGCCCGCTGCCACATCCCTCCTCCACGCGCACGCCAAAACACTGCCCCATCGCACTTCTGTCACCAGACGCCACCGCCACCACCAACCCCACCGACGTCCTACCGTTCGCCAGAGACCCAGTGCAGTGCGCCGAGAAAGACTGACGTCTGGTGCACCCCTGACCACCGCCCGCTCTGCTACCACTGCGGCGAGGCCGGACACACATACCACCGTTGCCAGTACCGACAGATGGGACTGCGTGGCTTTGCCGTCAATGCACCGCATCCGCAACCAGGAGAACGGCCACGTGACATCGCCGACTACCTGACAGGAACTCAATGGACACCACGAAGTCCTTCCCGTTCGCCGTCGCCTAGCCGCCACATGTACCCAGCACCTCCACCAGATGTCACGGGGTCGTGACGTGGCTGAAGACAGGAGACTTTGCGTTGGAATTTAACTGTTTATTTGGGCGAACCTGTGCCCGGTAAACGGAAAGTCTGGTTACAGTAGCAGTCTTTAACTGATAGCGGCGAACGGAGCGTCGGCCATCGATCAACTACTGACAAACGGCGAAGCGAGTCGGCATTTATACTCTTGCCGTCGAATGTTCTAGTGTTATCGCTGGCGGTGGCGTAGGTTCCAGAATAATCTGTACCGTTCGTAGAGTGGGCGTGATCTTATCGAAATGATCTACTACAGTACAGAAGCTTCTTGAAAACTGCAGGCGCGGTTTGCGCTGAGAATCGTGGTGTTTTGGGACGATAACAAAACTTGGGAAATGGAACGTGGCAATATTTAGGTAAGTACCACTAAAATACAGATACCTTTCTCTTGGGAGACATTGGTAAACTACCATTCATGTTTTACAAAGGTTGGCAAAAGGTGCTCAACCCCATTTTTATTCTTCGAGTTGCTACAGTCTCATGGCTCAGCTCCACTGTTGCCACCTGGTTTAAGGGGAGATGTGGGTCAAAAAATGCGAGTTTTTTTTCAAAATTACCAATTTTTTACTTTTGCCTGTTTTGATAAGATTAGTACCTCTACTGTTATAAAATAATATACAGGTCGAGACTTAACTGGAAATGCTTTAAAATTGCATCTAAAGAGCACAAGGTGCCTGTTAAAAGGTCCAAAGTGTGCAGTCTTCGAGCACCTTGCCGCCGATAATGCGCCACCGCTCGCCATTGTTGATCGCATTAGCCGAAGAGTCAAGCCTCACTCTTCAAGCAACAACAGTTTCCCTCGCTGATGCAGTGCAAGAAATGATAAAAAGAAGCACGCTTCTGCGCGTTTTTCGAGCGCCGCGACTGGCTTATCACGTGGTACAGATTGGAGACCGCCATTGGCCGCTGCGCGCCTGTATGTGCTGTGAAGCCTATTAGCAGGGTCCATGTTTTGTCGAGAAGCGCAGCTGAACAATGCTTTTCTCATGTAATTATCTCCACTATGAATGAAAAAAGCATTGCTTGCAAGTGAAAGCCGTTGTGTGGCGCACTCTGTAGGAATAGGCTAGGAGCAGCTGGTTTGATTTGCGGCAGTTGTTGGCTTGCAAAACCCAATGCATCAAAAGTCATTCAATCCTGTCAGCCGGAAAGTTCGTGATGCGGCAATGGATGATGTCAGCGCCTACCTTGCGAGGTGGAAAGAGCTCGCAGTGAGAGAATTTAGCAGGGACGACATTGCCATTATGTATGACGGTATGTGGCACAAACATGGCCGCAAAATGGCATGACACAGGACTTAGTTTGAATTTCGCAGTCTTATAGAACTTCTTCCTAGCTTGCAGTTGGCACAAGGCTTTGCCAGATGGAGCGGAAGTTTGGCAAGCGTTTCATGGCCCTGTCTGTGAGCAAAATGTCTGTGAGGAGTCGGCTCGAAAAAACCGAGAGGAACAGACTCATGGGGCTGGCGCATTTTAGTCACAGTGGCCACTACAAGAAGGATTGTTCTTTTTGGTGTACAAATTTTGTAAGATTTAATAATATCTTTCATAAATAAAAACTCAGTTGTAACTTAAAAACTCATTTTTCTCAAAACACAAATTTTGCTTTTTTTTTTGTTCAATGTGCCCCTCCTTTTTCGGGCACTTCTAGTGCTCGGATCTGCATGAAATTTTGCCCACATTTTTTTCCAAAGTATGGCAAATGCAATTATCTAGTTTAAATTTCAATATTTTATTGTATAATAAAAAAATGTTATGTTAAGCTTTACTAGGGTAGGTAAAATATGGACTTTTTACGTCTATTATTTTTCACACCTATTACATATTTTATATGTGCTTCCTAATAAGCTTTTTGCATTCTACACTTTATTTCAAACATCATGAACTATGAATGGTAAAAAATTACGGAAGTTCAGGGATGAAGAGAGGGGAGAAAGGGTTAAGGTATTCACTTTGTCATATTGCAGAGCTAAAAGTAAGCAACTTGTAAGAAAACTAATTGCATATTTGAAATCAGCATAAGAAGTTCCATAAACAGCTCAAGTTTCATTGCTCTAGCGTGAATATTAAAAAAAAGTGTCTTCAAGTAGCACCTCCCCTAGGGTAGACAGATTCCTTCAACACTTTTAGTGCCTTTCTATCTGTTACATATGGGCAATGCATGTAATCCAGAATTGTGTTTTATTGGGCTCATCCTGTCTGTTATTTCTTCGTTCGTCTCTTGTGGTTTGGACTGTTTTTACCTTTTACCATACATGTATTGCCTACATGTATGTGCATGTGTGTGTGTGCGTGCATCCCTATGTCTGTCGCAATCTTGCGCTTTTTACCTCAGATCATGCATTACCAAGAGGTCCAGTTGTTCACCCTAACAAGCCCGCAAAAGTGCATGCCTACATTTCCCGTTTTCCGACTACATTTTTATCTTGCTAGACTGGCCTTTAAAGAGCCCTTTTAGAATTTTGAACGCCATGCCATGTTCGACAGATTTGGCATGGCAGATGACAATGCATACCTCTGTAGCGCAGCATTGCTGTCTGCCATTTCAGCCATCTCCTTGCTGAGCAAAAACACTTTGCGCTCTCGGGCATCCAGGACACTTTGCAACTTGTTCACTCGCTGAAATACAGAAAAGAGAGTGCTACTACAGCAACTAGGGAGAAAAAAACAAGGCATAATCGTTGGAAAGGGCAGAGAATATCGCTCGGATTACTGAGCTGTCAAACATGCAGTGGCAAGTGCTCCTCAAGTGGCCCCAGCCAAGTCCTTTCCATGAAAACACACTTGACAAGAGGCCAGATGTGCAAAAAGACAATACAGGTGGATATTTTGGTATAATGTTAGTCAAGTGCATAAATGGTACACCTACACTAAAATAACTCACCGGCAAGTTAGTAGCTCATTTGGTAGTTGCTAGTTCACTGCCCTAGCTCATTGTTCAGTCAACTAATTGACAGTTCAAAACAGATGGCAATACTGCCTTGATGTCAAGATCCCACACAAACACACTGTGATGTCATAGACTTTGAGAATCTCTGCTACAGCCCGCAGAATATTTAATAAATTAAAAACAAGGCAAACTGTGTGCTAATAGAACAAAAGCCATAATATAGCAAGTTACAGAACATTTTATTGAGTCAATGGGACCGACATATGAAAACATGCTTTAAAATGCACACAGTCACAATGATATATTATGTTCGAATTCTCACACAGAATTCAAAAATGAAACTTCAACTCATTTTCAATTCTAGTAATGAGCCTATGAAGGCAATATTAATCATAACCATGTTGTGAAAGAAATACAAACTCATCAATCTCAACTGATTAGGTAAGTGGTCCATTGTGATGTTCCCTTAAAAGCCAATATTACAAAAGTGCATGTATACAGGAGCCAAATGTATCAAATGAGGGGTGAAAACTTGCAAATGCCAACCTATAAACTCACATAAAAAAATGAAAACCTCAACAAAGTGCTTTATCAGTAATGCAGTCATTTTACATGTGCTTATAGGTCTGCACATGCGTGTGTATGTGCTTTGATGTATTTGGTATGAACAGACTTGCTCAAAAGCAAGCTCTACCCGATACTTTTCTGACCCACCATGAAGGTCTAGTGGCTAAGAAACTCAGCTGCATTTTCGATGGAGGCGAAAATGCTGTAGGCCCGTGTGCTCAGATTTGGGTGTGCATTAAAGAACCCCAGGTGATCGAAATTTCCGGAGCCTTCCACTACGGCTTCTCCCATAATCATAAGGTGGTTTTAGGACTTTAAATCCCACATACTAATCAATCGATCGATATTTTTCTGCAAAAATGTATAGGATTTCAGAATATGAGCAAGACTGTCAGGAAAAGCTTGCAAGAACAGGGATTCTTGAAATTGAAAAGAATTAAAGGTAATAATCGTCGCTCACTGAAAGTGGCACAACTTATTCGAAGTGGGCTCTCCTAGACAAGGCCTCCGAGATCAAGAGGCACTTGTGACTCTTTGTAGTACACGGAAAACTTGATATTATGCAAAATATGAATGCGCATATTTATGAAGGAATCAACAAGAAGGGATCAAGTTTTAAGTGACCATAGTGCTGCTGCAATAACAATCGGAAGTTGAACACTTTGAACTGCAAAGTTTGAGCGTGCCCACTACATATACACTCATTTCTCATTATAACAATGTCACACCTGACCCGTAACTACTTCATTATCACCAAAAATTCATCATGGACACATAGCTGTAGCATTGCATTAAGAACAGTGCTATCTTTATTTACTTCATTATAACCAATAGTTAATTATATTCAGGTTCGTTAAATCGAGGTTTAAGTGTACTAACAACCCAAAGAAAATTCCAGTGTGGTCAATAGAAAGAAAAATTACAAATACAATTTCTGTTAGGTGGCCATGTTCTATAGACTTCTGCTTTCAGCAGTACATGCAACATGGTTAGGTTGCCTCACATTCTACATGATAATAGCACAGCACTCAACGTCCCGGTACTGCAAGTCGACATTGCCAGGAGCATATTGCCAAGAGCGTAACAGCAATAAGTTCAATGAATTTCACTGGAAGCAATCACTGGCCAAGAGTAAGCAAAGAAAAGCTTTTGTGAGGCAATACATATATTGATTAATGGCTTCCACCAATATGTAAAACCAAAGTTCGTTGGCTATCCTTCACTTGCTGAAGTACTCATAAATACATGGTAGGCGATAATATGAACGGAAAGAAAAAGAAAAAAAATAGGTTCACTCACCGCTCTAAGGCCTTCCACTTCAGACATATCTTCTAGACTTTCTGTAGTAGCACCACCTGCAAACAACGCGAGAAACAGAGCGGCACTGCTACAGCTTAATATAATAATTGCCGGGATTTTATGTGGTAGAGCCATTGAGGCTCTAACTAGCGGGAGAGTCGAGAGGCTTCTGACACCCCCCCAGAAGTTTTCCATGCTTTAACTTTTTGGGAGATACTAAAGTATTTATATGCCTTCCCATCGACTCCCAGTTGAAAATTTAGCCATTCTGCACATGAACACCCCCCCGAAAAAAAGTTCCTGGGTAACGCTTTGAGAACTGCGATACGGCTGTCAGGCACGAAAAAGTGGGGCACTCCTATACTATCTTCAATTCTCTGGGGTTCTTCAAGGTGCACCGCAAACATAGTACACAGATATAGTTGCATTTTGCCTGTATTAAAATTTAAAAAAAAAAAACTGGCTGGGAATCGTCCTCAAACTTAGCAGTATGACACGTATACCCAGTGATGGAAGTAACATTTCGCTTTTTTGGAGTAGATTTGGAGCAGGAAAAATGGTGCTTTTGAGCAGGCTTAAGTGTCTTCAGAGCAGAAAGAAATGCTATAGCTTAGGGCTGCTATTGGTGTTTTCGGAGCAGATGCACGTTTCTAACGACCCTTGAAGTCTAAAACATCACTTACGTATCTAATATATTTATATTTATTACTAAACACTCCGTATTCCAGTATGCAGCTAGTATAACGAACCGTATAGTAGTATCATTGACGTAAATATTTGGAGGGGGGAGGGTCAGGGAGTCCAAACTTTTCTTGTGTTCAGGCAGCGAATGGCAGCTCTTGAGATTTAGCTTTAGCATGTGATGTAATTGAGTTAACAGTTAAGTATAATGCAACAAACTTTTTGAATGCTTTTTATCTGCTGCTGCATATCTATGCTAAATTCCCTCAGCTGTGTGAACTATGGAAAACGCAAAAAGGTAAAAAAAAAAGAAACTGAATAGGACAATGCAATTATTCGAGCTTCGGGCCTCATGCTTGTTTTTGTACATTCTATTTGAAAGCATGATTTAATTTCTATACGAATAAAAATGCAACCCATATTAAAAATATGAATTGCACACAATGACCTAATATGTGTTACCCCTTGAGATTTTTCTCAATTAACGCTTCTGAGTAGCATACTAGAATGTTAGTGTACACAGCTTTCTTTTGGTTTCGCTTAGGCTCACGGTATGGTCCCATGGTTTAACTTCATTCTTTTTTAGTTTTCCAACATCCTTTCAGAGCAGGTTTGGAGCAGTTACTAGCAAATATTGCACTTTGGAGCAGCATGGAGCAGCATTTCTCTTTTGGAGCAGTTTGGAGCAATTGGAGTAGCACTTCCATCACTGCGTATACCTGCTAGGCTACCACAGCAAGTGTCAGCACAAGTTCAGCAAACTTACATACTAGGTCTATTATATTGTAGGCTTATGCCACAGGAGCGAAAGAAAGACACGCCTGAACGATAACCGATGCCAGCCAGGAACGCGAGCCGTGGCTTCACGTGCCACGGCCTAGCGCCTTCTTTATTTTCTTCTGGCGCCATCGCGCGCTCTCCGGTTTGCGCGCCACCCGAACGAGGGCGCTACAGGGCCCCCCGTGTAGACTGGAAGTCGGAATGTGACATGCGGTTTGTGGTGTTCCAACGGAAGATCAGTCGTAGATGAGAGGCTTTCTAGGGTGGTCTCCAGGTACGCCGGCTTGAGTCGGTCCAAGCTGACTGTCTCTTCACGGCCGTTCTGAAGTAGAGTGGCAGTTTTGGGGGTGCGGTGAAGTACGCGGAATGGTCCGTCGTAGGCTGGTGTCAAAGGTGGTCTGACCGCGTCGTGGCGCACGAAAACATGTGTTGCAGTGGCCAGATCAGGGTGGACGAATATGGTCTTGTGTTCGGAAGGTCTGGGTGGAGTGGGTTGGAGGTCTTGAACGCAGTCGAGGAGGCGTTGTAGGAATTGCTGTGGCTGGTCTGGTAGCTTCGTTGACGTGAAGAAGTCTCCCGGAAGCCGTAGAGAAGTGCCATACACCAGCTCTGCTGTTGAGCACTGCAGGTCTGCCCGGATGACAGCTCGTAAACCTAAGAGCACCAGTGGCAAGGCATCAACCCAGGTGGCTCTATTGAGGCGGGTAGTCAAGGCGGTCTTCAGTTGTCGGTGAAGGCGTTCCACCATGCCGTTGGCGCAGGGATGATAAGCCGTGGTACGGCAATGTCTGGCTCCGAGGATGCGATTAAGGCAAGTAAACAGCGAGGACTCAAACTGACGTCCACGGTCTGTTGTCACGGTGCCAGGACAGCCAAAACGGGATACCCACGTAGATATGAAAACGCGGGCAACTGTCTCGGCTGTGATATCTTGAATTGGAACAGCCTCTGGCCAGCGTGTGAAGCGATCGACCATGGTCAATATATAACGGTACCCCTGAGACACTGGTAGAGGGCCCACAATGTCTAGATGAACATGGTCGAAACGACGGCCGGGTGGAAGGAAAGGTTAGGGCGGCGTCTTAGTATGACGGGAAACCTTTGTCATCTGGCAGGGCAGGCACATGCGCGTCCAAGCGCGCACATCACCGTTGATTCCGGGCCAGACATAGCGCTGGGTGAAAAGACGCTGAGTAGCCCGAATGCCAGGGTGACAGATGTCGTGTAAGGAGTGGAAAATGGTGCGTCGTAATGAAGCGGGAACGAAAGGGCGGGGAAGGTCAGCTGAGACATCGCACCACAAGCGCTCAGATGATAATGGATGAGGCACCAGGCGTAGTCGGAGAGAACGGGTGTTCTCCCGAAAAGCGGCAAGCTCTCTATCATCCTGCTGTGCCGAGGAGAATGAGGCCCAGTCGATGGTTGGCGGTGGAGAGACAACCGCGGCTATACGAGAAAGGGCATCTGCGGCGGTGTTGTCAGCTCCTTTCACGTGGCGGATGTCAGTCGTGAACTCCGATATATAAGCCAGATGGCGGAGTTCACGGGGCACGTATTTGGATGAGTTAGTGCGGAAAACATACGCCAGTGGCTTATGGTCAGTCAGCACGTAAAACGAGCATCCTTCCAGGAAATGCTGAAAGTGCTGTATTGCAGCGTAGATGGCTAGTAATTCCCGGCCAAAGACGCTGTAGCTGGTCTCAGCAGGAAGTAGCTTCCGAGAGTAAAACGACAAGGGTCTCCACTCGGAGTTAATGCACTGCTGTAAGACGGCTCCGACAGCCACGCTGGATGCGTCCACGATCAACCGAGTAGGGGCGTTGCTGCGTGGATGAATGAGAAGCACGGCGTTAGCGACCGCTTGCTTAGCAGCAGCAAAGGCGGCCTGGGCCTCTGACGACCAAGGAATGGCGGAGGACGGGCCGGCGCTCGACCGAAGGAGGTCGGTGAGCGGTCGTAGCAGTTCGGCACAGTGTGGTATGAAGCGCCTGGAAAAATTCACAAGCCCCAGGAATTGGCGTAATTGGCGCAGTGTTGTAGGCTGAGGATAATCCTGAATTGCTTTAACGTGGGACCGGAGAGGGCGTATTCCTTTGGATGATATGCGATGGCCCAAGAACTCGAGCTCAGATGCGCCGAAAGTACACTTAGAGGCGTTCACAACGAGGCCGTACTGCTGAAGACGTTGGAACAGAGCGCGTAGATGGTGCTCATGATCTTCAGGTGTGCGGCTGGCGATGAGGACATCGTCAAGGTACGCAAACACAGTAGGAAGACCCCGTGTGACCTCAGAAATGAACCGCTGGAAAGTTTGAGCCGAATTGCGGAGTCCAAAAGGCATCCGCACGTATTCAAACAACCCAAAGGGCGTCGTGATGGCGGTCTTAGGTATGTCGGCGGGCTCGACAGGAATCTGGTGGTACGCCTTAACAAGGTCCACTTTGCTGAAAATTATGCAGCCGTCGAGGCGCGATGTAAAATCCTGGATGTGAGGTAGAGGATAGCTGTCGTGGACAGTCTTGGCGTTCAACGCTCGATAGTCCCCACAAGGACGCCAGTCACCAGGATCACGCTTTGGCACCAAATGCAGCGGGGAAGCCCAAGCGCTTGACGACGGGCGAATAATGCCGAGCTGCAGCATGTGGTCAAACTCCCGTTTAGCAATAGCTAGGCGGTCTCCGCACAGGCGGCGCGGTCGAGCGGCTGCCGGTGGACCCCGGGTGACGATGTGGTGTGTCACCGTATGTTTAGGCGGCTGAGTGAGGTTGCACGGTTTAGTTAACTCCGGGAAACTCGCCAAGATTTTTTTGAACGGTGAGGAAGGTATCAGCATGCGGATGGCCATTGGAGCGATGTCGGACAGGACTCCCGAGATGGATAGACGAGTCTTACCATCTATGAGGCGGCGCCGCCGCACGCTGACGTCCAAATCGAAGTATGAGAGGAAGTCCGAGCCGATGATCGGTTGAACCACGTCTGCGATGACGAAAACCCACCGGAAAATGCAGCGAAGGCCGAAGTCGAGGGTGAGAGATCGGAGCCCATACGTTGCTATAGACGAGGCGTTGGCAGCACGAAGCACTTGCCCCTGTGACTTTGAACGATCAGCCTTAGTCGGGGGCACAACGCTAATTTCCGCGCCCGTATCTATAAGGAACCTGGCGCCCGATAGCTGGTCCGTGACCATGAAAAGGCGGCTGGAACGAGAAGGGAGATCACACGCCGCCGTCAGTGATCCCGGCAGGCGTTTCCCTGCCACGAACATGGGGGTGTACACTTCGTGGCTCGGTGTCGGAAACGCCGATGGTACCAGCAGAGGGGTGGAGGGCTGGGACTCCGAGCATCTCGTGTGCGTGGAAGAGCTCGACGACCGGAACGAGGCGAACGAGTCTCCTGCAGGGGGCTCCGGAGTGCGGCAATGGAGGCGGCGAGTTCGTCGATGCGGGCCTCAAGGCGCGAAATCGCTGTGTCTGCTGGTGGTAAGACAGCGTTGACAGATGGGGAGGTCGCTTCATGAACCTGATCGGCGAGCTCCGCCAGGCGGTCGAGATTGACGTCGCCGGCCGCCGCGAGGACGAGGCGGATTGGCTGAGAAAGGCGTTGGAGGAAGAGCTCGCGAAGCAACGTTGAGTGGGCAGAGACGTCGTGTTTCCCAAGAAGCTGTCGCATTCGGCGCAGTAGTTGGGAGGGGCGCCTGTCGCCAAGGTCCCCCTCTGCAAGGAGCTGCTGTAGGCGGACGCGTTCCGAAGGCATAAATCGTTCCAGCACCTTGGTTTTAAGGTGCTGATATGGCGTAGTGTCCGGGGGGTTGGAGAGGACGTCGGAGAGCTCGCTGGCAACGTCAGGAGGAAGGACGGAGGCTACGTGGTAGTAGCGTGTCGTTTCCGAGGCGATGCGGTACAGGGAGAATTGCGCCTCGACCTGATGAAACCAAACTTGCGGGTCCTGTGGCCAGAAAGATGGGAGACGCAGTTGCACGGCCGAGACGTCCTGCGGACGTGAGGCTTGTTCGGTTGAGGGTGCATTCGAGTCAGTCATTGTCTTCGTCCGAGGTCACCACTTGTAGGCTTATGCCACAGGAGCGAAAGAAAGACACGCCTGAACGATAACCGATGCCAGCCAGGAACGCGAGCCGTGGCTTCATGTGCCACGGCCTAGCGCCTTCTTTATTTTCTTCTGGCGCCATCGCGCGCTCTCCGGTTTGCGCGCCGCCCGAACGAGGGCGCTACAATATAATTAGTTTCAAGCAATGTTTTTAAACAATACATGCATTTGCCAAAACAAGCAATACCATATAAACAATACAAACAAAACAATGCAAGCATTTGACAGCAACACGTCAAAGCTAGATAATCAGGTGTGAGTAGTTAGATCATGCCCTCGACTGATAGTGAAGCAGTGGTGTACTTTCATGCACAGCAGTACAAACAGGCACCACCAATTCATCGAGGCCAATGTTAATCCACATCCTGCCAAGGGAAGCAAAGGTGCACATTTGTTGCTTACTTATGTGCTGCTTACATGTGCTTTTCCAGTGGTAAAGAGCAACCATGATATACAAATAAAAGCCATCACCAGTGCATACACTTAAAACAACACTAATGATAGCAAGCAATACTTTTCTGCCACATTCTAGCTCCTTGATTTTTCCCACAACCTAATGATATGACAACTTCACCTGAAATGGTCTGCCTACATTATTTTTCGTATGGCACACACTTACTACACTTTTTTTTTTTCATTCATTTTTACTCCGTAGTTTTTCTGCCTTTATAGAGAGTGTCAGAAGACATTGTTAAGTGAAGGAATGTGTGTTAAGCTGTGCATCAGGATATTTCATAGAATATTTTTCATAACTATCATCATCATACTGATTATCAGCCTATTTTATGCCCACTGCTCAACAAAGTTTCTCTCAATTTACCATACCCTGTGGAAGTTGGTACCATTTTACGCCTGCAAACTTCCTTAATTTCGTCCCTCCATACAATATTCTGGCTTCCTTGACTGCATTTCCAATTCCTTAGTAACCATTTCATTGTTTTAACTAATCACTCACTGTCTGTCCTGCGCACTATATTGCTAGGTCAAGGTCCATTTCTTTTTCTTAACTTGCAACTGGAATATTCGCTACCCCTATTTGTTCCCTGACACATTCTGCTGTCTTCCAGTCTATTAATGTATCACTCACTATTTTCCATCCCATTTTACCCTGTGTGGTCCTTAGGTTTCTCTGTTGTTTTTTTTTTATTATCCTCCCAGTTTAAGCCCCATAAGTTACAACTGACAACATACAGTAGGTGTACACTTTTTCCTTTAAGGACAGAAGCGAATTGACTGTCATTATTTACAAGTGCCTGCTCAGTAATGTTTGGTCGCAGTTCATGATTACATATGAAACAGCGCACGACGACAGGCACAAAAGGAACGATAGGGACACTATTGCACTCTCAACTAGTTTATTTCGCAAAAAAAAAAAAAAAACATGGTTATTACACAACACGACCTTGTACCACATGCTACAATGACGTTTCTACAATGACAGTTTCATAATTTCTTAGCCAAGCCAAGCATCGATAACTGAGCGATTGCCAAGTGTGCTTTTTAGAAAATATGCTGTAGCCTGAACGCCATTGTAGCATGTGGCACAAGGTCTTGTTGTATAATAACTATGTTTTTCTGTGAAATAAACTAGGCAAGAGTGCAGCGGTGTCCCCCCATCGTTCCTTTTGTGCCTGTCGTCGTGCGCTGCTTCATCTGTAATCACAAGTGCCTGCTGTTTGTGCTCCAGCCCATTGTTATTCTTCAATGAATTATCTTCTCACAGCTAGGCTCTGCTGTTTGCAATTAACCTGGGCATACATATTCTTGCACAAACTTCCAGTTACTTGTCACCAAAATCTCTTGAACTACCACCAGTCATCACTGGAATGCGGCATGTTTAATTAATCCCATTTATGTATGAGACAATAAAGGAAGTCTAATGCTACTTCACAGAAGCTGACATGGAAACCAGCCAAGTTCCCTCTGCAAGTATTGCTACAAGTCTAGCTTCCCAATCTCCCCTTACCTCTACATATCTTTCAGCATGCTCATTAGAAAGAAGAGAGACAGTGCTTAGAGAGCGTGACAAATCACTAACTTTTGCCGCAATTGATTTGCAGCGCACTTAATTCCAATAGAGAGGCCATACAACAGTTACAATGGTATGTATTGCAGGGCCCCTTCAGAGTGCATGCACAGCACTGAAAGCATATTGTAACATAAAGTTAAAACCATGCCACCAGTCTTACCTAGAGGAAGCCCCAGCGGGTCCTCAGACGTCCCAGCTGCTTCAGCCGCTTCAAAGGGTTTCTCATCGTGACTGTCTGACTGTATGGTCCAAAGGTGCCTTGCTGGTGACACCGCACTGAACTGGTCAATGCTTGAGCCACCGTTAACGGACGAGATTATCTCGATATCTGACGAGGAGACTGTTTCCCCTTCTTCGTCACCGGATGGACTGCTAGACTTCCGCGAGTCTTCCGTCTCTTCCGTCGAAATCCTCACAAACGAAGCGGACGAGCTCGTCTCCGCGGAGTGTGCGCTCCCAGCCACTGACTGGGTTTCGCACTCTTCCTTCACAGCTACGGAAGCATCCGCTTTCACTGCTGTCGCATCACCAGCGTCGCCGTCCGCCCGGTCTCCCGACTTCTCTTTTTCTTCGGGAGGGTGGGCGACATCGCTAGACGCTTCAACAATCGCAGCTGCAACCGCGACATCGCCGCAGGCACCGTGCGTTTCAACCTTCTCTTCCTTTTTCTCAGCACCGCTTTCAGGAGCATCAATGGCCACCCACAAGTCCTGGGACGAAAAGCCATCCAGCCCTGAAACCGATTCACACAATTGTGTGGCTTCAGTCGAATGCTGTTGAGAGTCACACTGTTGCCCAACAAAGCTATCCGACAGATCGACCTTTGGCAAATCTGGCACTTTGGAATCGCCCTTTGGACTTAAAGACAAATCATCTTTCGATGATGGTTCGCTGGCAGCTGCTGATGTATTCGTTTCCGAAGTAGATGTCAAGTTGCCCTCTGTGGGTGCAGCGCTGATACCGACAGCAGGCGATACGGCAGGGTAGCCGGAGCTGGCTACATGTTCCGGCTCGCGAACAATAACACCACCACCCTCCTTCGGCTCTTTGTTGGTACTTTGCCAGTCCGAGAACGACTCTCTGCTCTGACTCAGTGGCGATGAGCTTTCGGGAAGCGACGACGACCCCAGAAGCGTTTCGGTTGACCCGTCGGACTCTGCAGACTGTTCCAAGGATGGGTATGTTGGCAGGTCGATGTTGAGCGGGCTTTCGCTCCCTCCACTAGAAACAGCCGCCACTGTCTCGGACGATGTGCTTGGAGATATTGCTGCAAGAAATGAACCGACACATGTTCTTTAACACAATGCACACAAACTGCACACATTTAGTATGTCTAACAAGTAATTAATACTTTAGTAAATTCAGTACACCACTGAGTAGACTTCTTTATGGAAAGATATCTGTGGAATTTATGGATATACAATTAGAAACAACGTACTGCAAACATCTTAATCTCATCTGCCCAACTAACTTCCTGTCTCGCCCTTGCATCCTTACCTGCTCTTAGCACACAGTTTGTTACACTAAATTACAAGCGATTATCTTGCCTTCTCACTTCGTTCCCGTTCTCCCTCTCAGTTTTGACTAAGGTGTCCATGGCACACCTGCACACTATACTAGTAGCCTACACGAACACTACACTAGTACATATTAGACGGCCTTTCCAACATCACAACTTTCAAGAGTGACCAATAATATTACAACGCAAATGTTAAAATATTTCTACGCACGCTACATATTATAACGTTATTTTTGCCTTTATTGTTAATAGGTGCAATTTTACGTAACATAATTTTTTGCAATAGCCAAGTTATATCACCTTTGTTTTGTACTTATATTTTTCATATCTTGTTGTACTATTACATTTTATTGCATAATGTGCTATCACTATCTAAGGTGTATCTGCTCTTGCCTCTTTTTGTTGTATATGATCTAATGTAATGTTAATATACATTCCCACACCTACATATTACAGTATTATCTTTTTTCTCTCTCTCTCTCTGAGTGTGTGTGTGTGCATGCGTGTGTGTGTGAGTGAGTGTGCGAGTGAGTGTGTGTGCACACATTGATGCTCCCTGTTCACACATGGCCATTGATGCTCCCTGTTCACATTTCTTCTCTTCGCTTCGCTTTCACGTTTCAGTTCTAAACATTTCTTTTATTGCATAGACCTCTCCCCCCTCATCTTTAACACAGTTCCTCTAGAGGACTGTAAGGTAATTTTCAATATATAAATGATTCATTCACCTATGTCACCCGCTGACACAGATCTGGTTGGCTGCAACAGGACAGCTGAAGCATCTGCGAATGGCTTGGCCACAGCTGATGAGGTGGCTTCCAGGAAGGACTCCCAGCCCGACACCAGCTTCGACTCAGTGTCATCTCGCCGACTTTTGGGCCTAGGCTCGGGTCGAGACGGTGTTGGCTGTTTGGATGTCGGCTGCTTGGGCTTCGAGTGGTCATCGGCCAGACCAAATGACAGGAAGAAGGAGTCCGTGTCTGCAGAGGCATAGAATATGCAGTGTTTCAGTACTTACATTTTTACAAGCGAATACCATTATGAGTGTGCTCCAAAACTGGCCATGAATAGCTAAATAGACGGCTCAGTGAACAGGGCCTTATTAAGCCATCTTAAGCCTCATTCCAATTCTTACGCAGCCAGCCCAGTAAATATTGGTAATAAGAGTGCATAAACAGGCAAGAAACAACAGACAGAGTTACACAGTTTAAAGTGAGTGCTCATCTGTGTAACTCTGTCTCTCATTTCTTGTCAGCTTGCATGCTTTTATTAGCACTACGTTCAAGCACGAACTCCCCTAAATTTCAGTACTTTTAAACCTAATTTCAAGTAAATAGCTTCACAAAGACAGTGCCGATGACAAATTGGTATGAAAGACCTTTGATACTGTTAATAATGTTTTCATTGACAATCTATTATTTGTCCTTTTCGCGACATGACCTTATCTAGTACAGATGTAGGCTACTCCTGTTTCTTCTCCGACACAGTCCCCTACCTTCCTTTCTGAAAACATTTTGTCTATCACCCTTGCTTCCATCCCACACCGAGTGGTCTTTGGCTTCTTCTCAAGTGTCCTTGTAACTATTCAGGTTTTGCCCCATATGTTAGAACTGGAAAAATACAATGGCTGTAAATTTTTCCTTCTAGACACCTCACACGGCCCCTCTATTCTCAATTTTTCTACTCTATTTTTAACCCAACTTTTGCTAAGCAGAATTTTTCTGGCTTTTTCACTACATGTCCTGCTCATCTATTTTGACTAAGATGTCTGTACTAGATGAGTTAGCGTGCACCTGGAAAACGTACCATTAGGAAGGCTGAAGCCAGATGCCTCATCGGGCTGGATGTCAAGTGCCCGGTCAATCCGCTTCTGGGCCGAGTTGAGGGCAGACTTGGCAAGGTTGGCTATACCCACCGTGTCGAACCAACTCATGGGAACACTGCAACAGTAGTGTCAACAACTTGGCATTACTTTATCCACCGAGTACGTGCAGAAATTTGGATTCTTCCGCTGGTTCCTGCAAAGGCAGAATAACCACTTCCTGCAAAGCATGCTTCATACAGCAAAGAAGTATAGTTCGCCCATAGACTTGACACCACTAATGTTTTTGCGGGTCACTGGAGAAGTACCTGTGATGGGCAATGCTGGTAGCAGCATAGAGTTTCCTATAAATACACTAGAGGAAACTCTGGTGCTAGTGTCTATGGGAGCTACAATGCATGGCGCTTTAGTGAGCATGGGAATGATAGCTAGCACATGGATTTGCCTAATTTTCGTACTTTCGGCTCAGTTTCGTTTTGCCTAGCTTGAAGCTGCTTCGTCACGAAACAACAATTTGTTCAGCAGTTTCACTTCACCAGATTAACTTTTTAGGCTCACCAGTACAAATCAGGTCACGAAGTTCAGAACGGTTTGTTCTTTCATTCGAAACAAAACCAAAACACTGCAATTAATGAAGCCACAAGTGTGTTCGCTGCCCGCAAGCACGAAGACAAGGCAAATGTGTCTACTACCCATCATTCCCATAGTGTCTGAACTATCGCAGTGCCAGAGTCCCCTCTAATCAACTTTAAGAAAATCAATGGGTAGCAGCACCTGATGATGCAGAACCTAACCAGATGCGCACAATATTGCAATCACTAACAGGTTTTACTTAATTGCATACTGATGTAAAGGATCGCCAGTCAGGAAATCATTAACTTACAGTACTTACATTATATTGTTTTGATTGATGGTTGATATGTGGGGTTTAACGTTTTAAAACTACCATATGGTTATGAGAGATGCCGCAGTGGAGGGCTCGGGAAATTTCGACCACCTGGGGTTCTTTAACGTGCACCCAAATCTGAGCACATGGGCCTACAACATTTCCCCCTCCATCGAAAATCCAGCCGCCGCAGCCGGGATTCGATCCCGCAACCTGCGAGCCAGCAGCCGAGTACCTTAGTCACTAGACCACCGCGGCGGGACATTTTATTGTTTTGACATGAACATTGATGCAGTCGAATATCTTTGCAAAGGAAAGTCGGTCAAGAGTTTTTAGATGGGCTAGTTGACTCATGAACATCTGAATTTCTGGCAAAACAGCATAAACAATGGGACGAACAAGTGTTCTGTATGTTCTCCATCCCGTTGTCTGTGCCGTTCTGCCAGAAAGGGGGGAAAAGAAGCCGCGAAATTGCTACCAGTATTACCCATGACATACAATTCTCCAGTAACCCGTAAAAACGTAAACACTAATAAATGTGCAGAAAAAGTAAAATTCTCTAGTTTTTCTAAGTAATGTTACATTTTGACTACCTAGTCAAGATGTAACTGTCCATAACCACTACAATTCACGAAGTATGCTGCATATTGTAATCGTGTTGTGTTAGGATGAAAAAGAGCATCTTGAACAAGTCCATCTGGTTGCTGCACTCATCCTGCCTCCGCCAAACACAACCTACTGTCCGATTTCCATCATGGCACAGATGACAACCCTGCGTGCATGTAAACGTAATCCACAATCTCTTTTAAGAGCAAAACCTCCTCACCAAATAACACTTGTTAAGGTTCTTGGAAATGAAAACTTTATGATAACTAATGTATTGACCACAGTGAAAATAAAGTAACACCATAGGTATGTGTAGGGTTTTCCATCGGAGGGGGGAGATTAAGGGCCACCGCAGCGCCCCCCTCCATAAAGGTCATTATATGAGGCTAACTGCTACTATATTACTATACAACTATACTATACTATACTACTATACTATTCTAGCCACTGTACCTATGGATACAACAACCTGATCTCGAGCCCATGCACAATGCCGTATTCTTGAATTAGCAATAAAACAGTTAGACAATAGCAAAGCACGCTCCGGTAACATTCTAGCGAAGTCCTTTCGAACTAGTAGTTACAAATCTTATACGGCGTGATGGGCTAGTGAGATTGGCGATTCTCCTTTGAAACATTCAATGAAACAGAAATAAAGAGGAAACGCATCGCTCACGCACGACGAAGGTTGTTTGCGTTTGCAATTCACGATCACTTTCCGCACTAAAATGGAAACGCAATTCGTCGACAGTCGTCGCTAACACGCATATCCCCACAAGACACGACCACTGCCAAAAATGAACGCAGCACTAAAGAAATCGGCCCATATTTCAGTGATCGTGTCGGTTTCACGTCGCAAGGAATCAAGAACAACGCGAAGCAGTCAACTTCCGCTGCCATGATCTCACAGACAGTGTGCTGGCCTGGTATTTTCCGAGGCACAGCGACGTTTCCTAATGGCAAATTAAACTACTTGCATATAAGTACGTACGTGAGATCAGCACGTAGAGACAGCCAAATCGAAAACACCCATAATATAACGCTGTAAAACCATGTTTACGTAAGGCTGCACACGAAAATGCACACCATCGGTGACGAAACCTTGTTTAACGCACTTTACAGGGCATAGCAGCGATCGCGCTATTACCAGTGATGGAATAGCTTGCAGAGCACCTTTCTAGCGGCATCAGAGAACGTAAAATCAAGCGCAACAACATGAAAACAGCGGTCATAAGACATATAAACACGACTACCAACACAGCTGATGCGATTAGCCAAACTCGACGCGAAATCACCTTTGCGGTCAACACAGCACTGCTCAGAAACGATAGTGTTGGTCTTAAAAGGTGAAGGGATGCCCAAAGGCAGGAGAATCAACAAAACCACGGACCTACATTAGGGCACAAGTGTCGCCACGAAGTAAACTTCCCTGCGCTACACATACATCGGCCGTTCTACAGCAGAACCCTGGGAAGGGGGACGGGCTATTACAGCGTTGCCAGTCGCCTCTATGTCTTTATCGGACCATGATCGGAGGGGTCGCATGGGTCGCAGCCAGCATAGAGTCAACGCCTCCTAGATTTCTCGTGCCTGCCGGATGAGCGCGAAACGCCGGTCATCTATAGCAGCGCTGCCTACGTAGGGGTAAAAGTCTTTGTACTTGACCTTTGAGATCGGCAACTTTGGCGTTTGCTACTAACTTCAGAGGATGCCTTGCATTTAAAAGTTGCTTGTTGAATGACGGCGTCACTTACGTAGGGTTAATCATAATTACGTTTACGCCTGTTCAAAAAATTTTTACGTTATTTTTGTTGCATATAAGTTCTAAAAACGTAAAAACCTATTTGAAGACATTCCTAGTTGAGTAGCACCACCATTGTAGTTTCGACGACCGCCGCTTCCCAAGTGACCATCGATAATCCGGCAGGCACAAGAACTCTAGGAGGCGTTGATAGAGTTTAAGAAACTCTATGGATCGCAGGACCACGACCACGGCCGCCGGACCACGACCATGGCCACGACCTACTGTCGTGCGTAGGACAACATAGAATGCTAAGCGGGGTGAGCAGCCATTCACAAACAACGTGGCAAGCGTTGTTTAGAAATCCCATCACGTCACAAAAGTTTAGGCGCTAAATTCAAAACTAAAACTGTGGCCTCGCTTTTCTATACCCGTTCATTATCCTGTGATGGCAAAATTAAGCACTGTTAAGCTCCGAAATATTAATTTATCTCTTTAATATAATCTAACGGTTCCCTTAAGTATATCATTAAAATGGACATGGGGCATAATAAGCCATAAATTAGCAAGTCAGAGAGAGAGAAAGACAGAGATTAATTAAAGAGGAAAAATCAAAAGGACGCCATTTTCTGCCACCAGTCGCAGGGGCATGGCTCAGCGCCTTTAGCGATGGACAGGAGAAGTAAAGATGTATGGATGAATAATTTTATTATGGTTCTTTTATTATTGTCCGTATGAGCATGAGATTCACATATGTACGTAAATCTGATTTTATCGTATGTTCATGTGGTCAATTCTCTGTATGTTGCTCTGGACTGTCCATCGGGTGCGCGACACGGCGTACAAATTAAGACCCCTTATATTGCTAGAAAGGCAAGCTCTGCGGCTGTGTCTCGGGCTACCTAGGTGTGTCGCGAATAGCGTGCTTTATTTGGAAGCTAGGATCATTCCACTTGATGCTAGATTTCGACAGCTTACTGTGCAAACATTTTTAAAACTTTACGATGCGCCCCTCTTCTGGTCACAGACAGTTTTCATCAAACATCCAGTTTCTTTCTTTCAGCGCCCGTGGTTTCGTTATCAAAGACCCCAAGTCATTTTCGTCGAGTCTCTGTTATCAAATCTTCACGTTTCCCTCCGGCATTTAACCCCCAAACCCAATGCTCGGTGCCAGTTGACTTAATTTTCGATGATATTTTTCTGAAAAATGCCAAGTTATTTTCAAAGCATGTTCTGGAGGGCCTCCTTCAAGACCATCTAAGTCATTTTCCTAAATACGTAGTAATTTCGACGGACGCAACGCAACATCTTCAGAAGGCTGGAGTAGGTATTTTTTCTCATCAGCTTAATTGGTCTTTTGCGCTCCGATTGCCTGACTTCACACCAATTTATCTCGCAGAATTCCTGGCTATTACATTGGCTCTTCGAAAACTAAATTATCAGCAATCAAAAGCTATTTTCTCACGCCATTTTCTCATCCATAGTCTATCAACGAAGCGAGAGTATCCAAAGCGTAAGCAAGTGGCATAATTTATTGTGAAGAAGCGAGTTCACAGAGACAGCAGAACAAGACGATAGGCGCAAACGGGCAGCCGTTTTAACGAGCTTTTGCAGTGATGCCGGGGCGTAGCCAGGAAGTGGCACACCGGGCACGTGCCCCCCCCCCCCCCCTCCCCGAAATTTTTTCAACCGTAGCATGGAGGGCGCAAAATGGCCATTTTCAGGGGGTGCCTCTCCCGAAATCAGGGTGGCGCCTCCCCCCCCCTCCCGAAAAAATTTCCGACTACGCGGCTGCAATGATGTATTATCCTTCACGGTGCATGTTACCTTGTTTTGTTCATTTCGTGATGCAGCCGCGAGGCGCACACTTCGGAATGCAGGACAGACATCGGTCGGTCTCACGAGCTGCTGTCTGCCTGACTTCCGGTCAGCTGCAATGGCGTCGTTTTTTATAGTTTCGGTATCAAAAACTCCGTTGTTGGCGAGTGTTTTTCTCGGGTAACTACTTGCCTTTCGAAGGTGAAATTTGGCAGGCAGCATTGTCTCCAGCTAGACCGCTTATAAATCGGCTTTTTGGAGCGTGCACAATTTCGTTGCACTTGGCCCTTAAATCTGCGCTTTCATCTGTGGCAACGAAGGGAAAGGAAACCGTTAAGAACAACAACGTCGCTTCTACAATCTGAAGAATTTCGGCACTTGCAATTCACATGGAACACCGCAAAATGCCTTTCCCGTCAATGTGAGGTGACCCTCACAAGCGTTCGCTGTAGAGTTCCTCTGTTAAATTTTTATCTCAACAAATCAGGATTTTCATTAACTAACCTATATGTGTAGTTTGCAATGAACCGGAAACAATAGATCACTTTCTTCTCACATGCCACCGCTTCGCCTCACTGCGCCGAATAATTCTTGAAAGACCGATTGGTATGCTCGGATTGCCAGTCAATACATCCACCCTATTATCGTTTGGAGCCAGTCAGTTGGGTGTGGGCCGCAGAGCTATTCTGTCAGCGCTACATAAATTCATTCAGGCAACCGGAAGGATACGCTGCTAGTGGTACTGCCAGATATATCCAATTCTTTCTCCCCCTTCCTCATTCTTGTTAATTTGTTTTATATATTCTGGTTTATCGCATTCTTCTGCAATTTTTCACGTTTTCAAAGGAACATTATTATTGTTCCTATCTAATTTCTCTTTATTTTTATTTTTAGCAAGCGTTGTAAAAAATGATTCATTATGAGGTACAGTGTGGCCGATCCCCCATGTGGGTATGAGCCAAGATCTCCTAGGAGACAAGACAAGACAAGACTTGCTATTATGCTCACGTAATCAATCGTTTATGCATCTGCTGGTCTGTCCGATATACCACTTTCCACAATGAAGTGAAATCCAGCACACAACGCACGTGCTGCATTCAAAAAAATTTGTCTCCATGCTTCTTTTCACATGTACCGTCTCTGTTGTCTTGTATGGTCTTGTGCTTCTACATAGGCTCACCAATTTTAGTCGGCGCTGAAAAAACTACGTATGTGTCACATTGTCCTGCGATCTTCTTTGTCCTGTGAGAGAACTTGTATGGGATGATGGCAAAGTCTTTCCCGCTTGAGCTTGCTCTATTTGCATCCTTTCTCTAGCACTTTTCTCTAGCAATGATTACTTAACGATTCTTATGTATCCGGGCATGAAATTGGAAAGACTTTGCAAATTTAGGTTATTGCTTTATGGCGTGATTATGTTTTACTTGTATAACTTATTACTATTGTTCTTGTGTCGCATTCTGACTGCCTTTTTTGTTTACTTGATGTTATTTTATGAAAGTTCACTGTTTACTTTTCACATGTGTTGCGTATTTTACGTGCTGTTATAATTAATATTTTTTTTGTTATTGTTAACCGAGGGTCCCACTGCAGTCGCTTGACTTTGGGACCCTCGTCTGCATACTACATTCTACGAATTTTGTATTTTGAAGAAATGAATAAACTGAACTGAACTAAACTGAACTGAACTTTTCTAGGCAAGCCTTACACAACCATGATCATGATGATGATGACGATAATGATGACGATGAACTGGATGAATGGATTGATATGGCCATGGATATGGCTGTACCCTTTAAAACGGGCGGCGGCTAACGCTACCTATAGCCGTAATGCTTAGTGAACCAAAAACTAGATTTCTCTTTTTTTTCTTTAAATAGTGAAGTTGAGGACTGGTACTTTGCAGTGAAGGGTTTAATTTTCACTCGTGCCATGACTTTAGCCACCAATCGGATAACCTCCGTCTATAGTGCTTTGAAAAACTCTGCGCCATCATCCTGGGGGGTGAAGCCCTTTACAGAACATTATCAACTGTTCGGCAGTTTCTTCCTCCTCTCCACATGCACTGCATACCGTGTCGTAGCTAAAGTAACTGGAAAAAATCGATTTTTTTTTTTCAGTGACTCTAGTCCTAGCCAAAAGGCAGCGCCCTCACGCGGCGCTGTTGTGCATGTTGGAGTGTCACGTCAGGGGATTTAGGGAATGGAACGCTAAAAGAATAAGCCCACGGGTGAAGTTTTTTTTTTTCTTTCCTTCCTCGATGAATAGACCAGAGAACACTTACCAATATATTCTGTTCATTCTGGGCTCTCGTAGTGCCATGTCTTCGCTATCGAGCTCTTCGTGGCTTTATACTACTGCTAGTCTGCCGTCTATCTTTACCTTCATCACAGGTCAATCTCGAAGTAGCCGGCGGCAGTGAAAGACGCGTGGCGGACCTGCGACGGAAAGGCCAGAGGGAATATTTTGCCGGCGCCAAACAACCTGAACAACGCGGCGTCCGTGCCGGCGTCTATTACTATACGAGAAACGCGACGTCCGAGTCAGCGTCCGATTCTTCGACTCCAACTGTTTCGCAGTTTGACTGTCTCGTCAAGCAGCTTGACCGGCTTTTCGGAGGGCTCGTTTTTCTTGGGAGCCTTCATGTGCTCGCGCCTCCGAAGAAACAGAGCCGGTGAGCGCACATAAAGGCTCCCTAGTTTCTCTTAGACGCAATATTAATGGTAACCAGCCGACAATTATGTCAAGGAAAGTATATGGGATGTTATTACTAATTAGTAGTAACACATTGACAAGGGGATGATGACTGCTGCCGTAGCTCAATCGGCAGCGGACGCGTTATTCGAAGGTCGCAGCTTCGGTCCCTGCTTGCGGCAAGTCTTGTCTTGTCTTGTCTCCTAGGAGATCTTGGCTCATACCCACATGGGGGATTGGCCACACTGTACCTCATAATAGATCATTTTTTACAACGCTTGCTAAATAAAATAAAGAGAAATTAGATAGGAACAATAATAATGTTCCTTTGAAAAAACGTGAAAAATTGCAGAAGAATGCGATAAACCAGAATATATAAAACAGATTAACAATAATGAGAAAGGGGGAGAAAGAATTGGATATATCTGGCAGTACCACTAGCAGCGTATCCTTCCGGTTGCCTGAATGAATTTATGTAGCGCTGACAGAATAGCACTGCGGCCCACACCCAACTGACTAGCTCCAAACGATAATAGTCATCTTTTTCTCCACTTCTCTTCTTACACTCGTAACGTTGTAACTACTACTAATAGTATCCCTTGGCACCATTGTCGGCTTGATCTCACTAAATATTGTCCTTGAATAAGTGCTGAGACGAATTTGAAGTATTTTACGTTGCTTTAAAAATGCGGGTGTCGGGCGCCGTATATAAGAGTATCGAAGTACTTGGGAATGCATTGGCTATATATATTTAACATCGATCTTCTAAAACAGCAATTTCCTTTTACAAGGGCGCCTTCACGGTGACATGTCAGCGAAAGTCTAACGCCACTGGAAGACTGCAGCTTGCGACGCCACTGACAAAAGCTGTCAGTTTGCTGTCATTCGCACGTGTTTCCTAAATAACAAGCGAATGGTCGTCCAGAGGCCCTGAGCGATTTCTGTGATTTAGGCTGCGTGCAGGAGGCAACTTTGGCTAACCCAACGAACTGTGCTGACTCGTTGTGAAAATGCAGCACCTGCCAATTCTACCCGAGCGCGACGAGAACTTCAAAGTGAGTGTAAACTGTTGTGTGGGAATGAGTTGATGGGGCACACCATGACCCGCACGTCGTGGGGTCGACTTCCGGCCGCATTTCCGATGGAGGCGAAAATGCTGTAGGCCCGTTTGCTTAGATTTGGGCGCACGTTACTTAGAACCTCAGGTGGTCTAAATTTCCGAAGCCCTCTGCTACAGCGTCTCTCATAATCGTATCGTGGTTTTGGGACGTTAAACGCCAGATATCATACCATATAGAAACGAAACGTGTCTTTTGTGGCGAGTGCCTCAAAATCGTGTCAGAACTGTTAATCCAATATTCAGCGCATTTCGAAGTTCCGGATTCGTGCACTTTCAGCTCGCGCTATCGGCCACATTTGTTTCAAAAACGCAACAACCCTTATCTTTTGCAGCGCGGTTGTCAAATTCGCAGCAGCAGTCGCGAAATTGAGCTCCGCAGGGGTCGACGATGAAGTAAAACAAGTACTGAGGGTAGTGGGCCGGATGCTAGATTGCGGAAATTACCTGCTAACGTTGCCATTAACACGGCTGGCTTTCCCATATTTTGCATATGCATAATTCTCGGGTGCCGTCGGGTTTCGTATCACCTGCATTGGTGGCCCTATAGTGGTCACGGTGTTCGATTGCTGACCCGCACGCAAGTCGAGGCATGACATCCAACTTGCGGCGGCCGCATATTCGGTGGAGGTAAGAATGCGGAGGAGTGCTTACTTGTTTGATTCATGTGCGCGTTGAAGGTCGTTGAAAGTTCCGGAGCCCTAAACTATACGGTGCCTTTCATATCGTTGTTTTGTAGCACTCAACCCAGGTATTATTAGCCTTCAGGAAAGCTTCCGGCATTTTCTATAGAGCCACAGTAGTTCATTGTAATGTGAGAAAATTGCTGTCATTATTGTGTTACGGCAATGAAACTTTTGAAAGGTAATTAAGTAACGCGAAAGTAATCAATTACACTTTCGTAAATGCTGTTTCTTTTCTGGAGTTTAAATAACCACTACGATCGATTAAACACTTCGAAGGAAGTAATCGCAGTCGCAGTTATAATAATTTTATCTAACGTCTGTGACGTCTGCGAGTTCGGTTTGAAACCGCACTAAATGTTTGAAGTGGTCTGCATTAACAATCCCGTGTTATATAACTGTGTCGCAGTAAAGTGCCTTTGCACTTCCGTTGAAAACCAGTCCATTATTATTATTATTATTATTATTATTATTATTATTATTATTATTATTATTATTATTATTATTATTATTATTATTATTATTATTATTATTATTATTATTATTATTACCGTTTCGCCTCCATCGAAATGCGACCACCGTTGGCAGGAATCGAACCAGCGACCTTCGGGTTAACAGCCGAGCCTCCTATACTTACCCATTGAGGCAAATGTGTTGTCTACATATATTAGAAGCTAGTACGCATCAAAGGGTCCAGTAATGGTCCGAGCTACAACATTTAATAGTCCTGTCTTAGGCAGTCTGCATATTCTTTCGGTACGTCGAATACGATCCGGACGTAGTCCCGCAGCAGTGTCAGCGTGAAAACCCTGGTGAATTTCCCGAGCACGCTCACGGAGTCGCAGTCGTCGCTGTAGTCTTCGTAGTCCACATCGTACGCAACCACGCCGTAGGCAAAGGTCAAGTGCTGCGCCCTCAGTCCGCAGAACTGTATACAAACGAAGAATCCCACTTGAAAATGTCAGCACGAATTGCCATAGGGACAACAGAAATCGCTTCTGGTACCTACCCCTGGTACCCACCCTTGGTACCTAGAGAAAAACCTATAGGTTTTTCTGTAGGTACCAGGGGTGGATCCAGCCACTCATTCAGGAGGGGCGGTCGCCTAAAGTAACACTGGAGAGCGGGACGAGGTCATGAGATTTTTTGTTTTTACTAGGCAGAAAGAAAACGCCTTCGCAGCATTAATACTGTTAATGTGTGCTCACATTGCTTTGCCTCATTTGCCCTAATTGGTGATAGGAGGTGAAATACAAGCACTAAATTTAGGAGGGGGATGCTGACAGAGACTTGGGGGAGGGGGGGGGGGTGATCGTCCCTCGCCCTCCCTCTGGATCCGCCACTGGCTCTGACAGGTATTTCAGTTGTGCGCAGACATTTCTTGTCGCTACCATGCAAGTCAATTCTCCTCACGTATGCGTCCTTACAATAAAGAGTTGAAATGCTCCGAGAAATGTTTGTATCGACGAAAGAATGGGAATTTGTAAGAGATCTGTTCTCGGCCGGCACAACGTTATTTAGAACAGACAATCGGCACTGCAGCGGCGGCCATAACCCCGTCCAATTTATGGGTCATACGTGTTCAATTTAACATGGAAATATTAGTCAATGTAAATAGTAGTCATTACGGCGACTGTGAAACAATATTTTTTCTACCTGATGACGTCTCGACGTACCTGACCGTTTTAGGAGCTGGCAGCCCACCAATGGTCTCACACACACTCCCATGTTTAAATACACATAAATATCCCATAAAGACGACGGAGGGATGAGCACCGCTGTAGCTCAGTTTGTATATAGCAACGGACGCTTTATTCGAAGGTCCCAGGTTCTGTCACATGCCAGCGGCAAGTCGTTCCGTTTACTTCCTTCACATTCACATTCCAGTTACTTCAAATAGCATGACCTACACTTTCCTTAATTCTTGTCCACTATAGTTATAAATTAGTAAATGCCTACCCCAGGAAAATGTGCTGTCACACAAACGCACCGTATCGCAGCAATAGATAGGGAAAACTGTTCTGAAGGTGACTCTCGAGAAAAAAAAAACCTAGAAAGAACGCGTATCTCTAGAGATGAATTTTTATTTAATATTTTGGTTTCTATACGGATAGGCAGCACCAGCAGAAGGTGCCACGCATTTCTCGCGTGCCATGTTTTGCTTTCCAGTACAGCAAACATTTTTGAACACGGCGTGTCGCTGGAGCAATCAAAACATTCCGACCAGAGGTGTCTTCAAGGCGATATCTGCTATATACCTATTGAAGACTGTACCTATAGAAGAAGACAGTACGAGTTGTTTAAACGGTGGCTCCAACGACACACAGTGTTACGCAAATGTTTATTCTCCGCAATCTTCTGTCCTGCCCTGAGCGCCTTCTTTCTTCGAATGTTCTGAACAGGGATATATGTACTGCACCGCAAGTTGTTGGCCTTACCAAATCGTCAAAATTTCCAAATAGCGTTAAAGTACAAATCTGCGCAAGTTGATACTAATTGACGATGTTTGCGTGGAAACAATGCGCGTGTGACGGCGCAGTTCCTACCACTGACGTGCTCGCCCAATTTCAATAACACAGATGTTTCATATAAGCATAAAGAGTTATGAATGCGAGATAAGTTGTTGAGGCGGCGCAGACTGCCCCAGAAACCATGGTATGCATTAACCATCCTTCGATTGCTCTACACCCGAGAATGAAAGAGCATATCTATAGAAGACGCATTTGGACAATGTGAACGTATTAACCATAATTAGGGGTTTTAGATCTCAAAACCACGATACGATTATGAGATACACCGTAGTGGAGGGCTCTGGAAATTTTGACCATCTGGTTTAATGTGCACCGACATCGCACAGTAGACGGGCCTTTTTGTCTTCAGCCCCGCCGCGATGGTCTAGTGGCTAATGTACTCGGCTGCTGACCCGCAGGTCGCGGGTTCAAATCCCGGCTGCGGCGGCTGCATTTCCGATGGAAGCGGAAATGTTGTAGGCCCTTGTGTTCAGATTTGGGTGCACGTTAAAGAACCCCATGTGGTCGAAAATTCCGGAGCCCTCCACTTCGACGTCTCTCATAATCATAGCGTGATTTTGGGACGTTATACCCCACAAATCAAATATTTGTGTCTCCATCGAAATGCCAACGCCGCGGCAGGAGTCAAATCCGCGGCCTTCGGGTCAGAAGCCGAACACCGCAGCCACTGTTCCACCACTGCGGACCGCGCATTAACAGTGTGTAATGGGATTCTTCCCGCATTTTGTCGTTGTTCTGTATTGGTGTGCTTTCTGTGCCCCTCATATTTTTTTTTCTATCGTATTGGATTAGGCTTATATGCAAATCGAGGCCTGTACTTTTTTTTTTTCAGCGTCGTTCGCCCTTTGCACTGTTCGCCATCATAGACCAATTTTCAAACAACACTGAGCTACGTAGGAAATTAAAAAAAATGAGATGCCGCGTTCCATGCTCACCTTTTGGACGATGTCGGTGTTGTTCTCGAAGGCGAGTATGCGGCCATCCTCTTTGTTGTAGTAGAGTGAGCCATGAACTCCCGATTTGTAGTAGGTGACATTGCTGAAGCTGGGATCCTCGCACGTCTAATGCAGCAAATGGGGAAGAGATCGGGCACAGGACGCGTTGAAGCATACATATGCACAGACGTAAAGTTATACGCAAGATGTATTGAAATCATTTATGCAAGACGTATTGGCAAGCCAAATCTAACTTGGTTCAGTTGCGAAGTCGAGTGCGTTTTCAATGAACAGTATGTCGTTGCTATACTGTTGGCATTGTCAAAAATAGCCCTGAAACACTGCTTCAGCATCATCCGAACGCGCTGCCGATCAGTATAGTCTATAGGCTGCCGAGAACATGCCAGCCAAATAGCCCGCGACCTGGATTTTACAGCGAATTTCCTATTCGCATTTTCATCTGTCGACAAGTTATGATACATATACTCAAAAATCGTTGCGTCGTAGACTCAAGTTCCCCACTATTGGCTGATTTGAGCATGACACGCACGGGATTGACTGCGGCTGCCACGCTTTCACGCGCTGTTGGCCAGAAATAACAGCTTCTCAAATATATAAGAAGCAAGGGGAAAAAATTGGTTTCAAATCTGCATGTTACACTGCAGATATCGTCGAAAGACGATAGTCTTGCGTCTGAAGAGAGCGAACAAAACGTTTATTTCATGTTCTGCGCAAGAAAATCGGTGAATGGTACTCTGGAGACGCTGCGTTAGAGTTCCTCGAGCATTGAGCGGAGGCGAACGAGCGCATCGAGGCACGTTAGAGCCACTGGAAAAATTTTTTTCCGGTGACTCTAAGGCACGTTAGACGCAAGCGCCATCTGACAGTTATCTTCGAAAACGAAGGCGTGCAGCCTACGGAGAAAGGTGCGCGCCAGGCTCGGAGGTGATAAGGTGTAGAACGCAAAGCGACGGGCAGGTGCCACCACCGTGCTCATGACGTCGTATAAAGCGTTGGAAACACGACGATAGTTATAGCGCGAGAACAAAACAACGACACAGAGACAAGAAGGAGACGAAGGGCTTCTTGTCGAGACGAAAACTTCTTGTCTCTGTGTCGTCGTTTTGTTCTCGAGCTATAACTATCGTCATGCCATACCAACTAGCCCAAACTGCCACATTTCTAAGTTGGAAACACCTTTCTGAGCATCGCGTTGCACTGTCAGCGCAGCGCGATAAACGCTACATTTCTTAGAGCCTTGTGTGTGCCTCTTTTAGTATAAAGGCAGACATACAAAACATCAAAGCGTTGTTATAGCACCTCAGATATGCGCAATCATTGTTTTTAATTGACAATCGCACAACTATGAACACTAAACCTTGAGCAATACTGGTGGGCGCTGCGGATGGGGTTGGCCGTTTGATGCCGTTTGAGGTATCGTTAGGGTGGACAAACAGACAAATGTACAGGCAGACAGACCAAATTTTTTTTTGTCGAAGGTCCCCAAGAAAGACTATCGTCTTTAAAAAAAAAACGGACGTCCGAACAACTCAGCCCCATACAGCCGTCCATCACCAAGATAGGAGCCCGCAAAGAATACTCTTGATTGCAACGAATGCAAAGCTCATGATATAAAGGAAGGGTGCAGATTTCGTCATAGGGGCCAATGATGCAGCTTGCAACAGCGAGGGCAAGAGGAATGCGTAATCTTCATTTTCGCCGTTTCGAAACGTGCCGTTAGGCCTTTCGGACCTCAGGCCGGTCGATGCCCGAGCGATAACCTTCATATCGCGCTAGGCTGTACATCCCGATCGTGACGCAACCAACGCCTGTGCGTGATTAAACACTTCGGATTGTTGAAGTGGTAAGGAATAGGATACACCTGGACACGGCATGTGGTGAGGCCGGCGTGAGGATCGATGTAAACTTTGGCACTCGACATGCGCTCATAGAAAGCTTGGTCACTTCTCGAGAGAAGTAGCAAGGTGTGTGCTGCCGCAGCCGAAATTCAAAGAGGAAAAACAGGAATATCATTCGCACGATTGCACTTAGCAGCTCGTTAAACAACCGGCGCGCGAAATTCAAGAGGCACTTTAAGAGAAAAACGATATTTCACTTGGTAAATTTGGCAAGCGAGAAAACGTGCAAAAAGAAATTCTCGTGGCGACACCATCATGGAATTCTGACACCATGTCTCTGCACCATCAAATTTCGAGAGCGTCTTAATCCGAAAATTTGCAGTACAATTTCTTCTGCAGGGAGGCAGAGACTTAACGTGTCAAGCGACAGAAAATTGATAATAAAAGCTACGTGGACAATATAAAAAAAAATCACTTTGAAGTTTGTAAAGTCGTAATTGTTAATTTCAGTGGATAATTCAAAACGGCAAGCTTTTTATATTGATTTTCTAGTCTGACAATAAGCATGTGGTGTTAAAAGTTAATGACAGCAGAGTTTTTCAAAATATAATTTATCAGTCTAAATTTGAGTATTGTTTCACTCTAATGCTCGAAGCCGTCGTTACGGCATGCCTTTTTTTTTCTACATCAGTAGCCAGAAACCATTCAAAGCAGAGGGCCAAGTTTGCATGAAGCCGACACAGCAGACAAAAAAAAATTTGGCTAATCGACAATAATGTGTATAACTAGAATAAATATAGTGTCCATTTATCAGACGGTTGCAAGTTACAAACGCACAAACAAGCTGCAAGCAAAAATACCATTTGAGGGCAAAACTGCCATCAGGGGCGTAACCAGAATATTTTTTTCCTGGAAGGGAGGGGGGGGGGGGGTTGTAACCATAATTTACGTACGTTCGTGCAAATGCTTGTATATGTGTGCGTGAGTAAATTTTGGGAGGAAAGGGTTTGCAGCCCCCCCGTCCCTGGCTACGCCTATATAGCTGCCATGTGGGACATATGGAAGTGAAACGAGAAGGGAGTGTGCGGCGTTTTGACGTCGTTCTGGGCGCCGCATAAAACTTCCTTTCGGGCCTGTCGGTTGCTGACCTGTGTTCACATAAACACGCTCGAATGCTCAGTCAAGAACTCACGTCGGCGTATCTTCCGAAGGACTCGGCACTCGGTTCGTACTCGCACTCGGACAGGAAGTCGACCGGCTGCCCGGCTTTCAGTTTGGTCCATCTGCCTTTCATGCTGATCGAAAGAGCCCAGGTTGCGTCCATGCCTCGAGCAATCAGCCTCTCGATGGACTCTGCCGCGCTGTTCTGCGTTTGGCAATGCATGACTCCTCGTGAACCGGCGAGAGCTAAGTTGACCGATTACTCCGTAAGGCGAAACTCGATCGGCACAAACAAAACGAACTTTCTTTATTGCACGTTTTGTAGGGGAAAAAAAGGCAGACATACTCGTGAACCCAGAATATCTGAACCAATACAAAAATTAGCAATTTATTTATTTATTTATTTACAGTACCTTACAGAGCCCTCGAGGGGCATTGTGTAAGGGGGGCGGTACAGATAATATGTTAGAAAAATACATATACGTAATATCTACACATACATAGGCAAATAATGAATATAATAGAAAATGCAGTTCTACTTATGAACATGGCAGCAAAATACATACTAGAAAAGTGAGTTACAGTATGTGAAGGTGAAATACAAAAATAACTATTATAACAGTAACTACAACCTAGCAATAGTGCAAAAACATCGGCAACAGTCCTAGAAACACTGATGATTACGAAGATGCGATAGAGCAGTTTTTGGTGCATAAGTTTTTTTTAAGAGTATGATAAAACTTTGTGTGGTCTTGTTCTGACGCAAGATCATCTGGCAAATCATTCCACAAACGAATAGCTCGTGGAATGCGTTTGTGGAATCATTCCACAAACGAATCACGATTATGACACGTCATATTTGACTCAATCATGTTTGTTATGACGGCGCACAGTTTTCTTACATAACTTGAGTACCAAGTGATACAGAAGTTCACAGTTACGATGAGCGTGAAGCGAACATAATTTTTTTTTAAATGATAATGTCGCTGGAAGCAGTGTTTCGGCAAGTTGACTTGTCCTGGTCAGGGCAACAGCGCGCTGCCTTGAAGAAGAAAAGTTTACTTATCAAAACATTGGTTCCAGCCTCATTTTCTGAAACGATTTCTAGAAGCATTCAGCTCATCACGTGTATTTGAGTGACAATATTAGAAGTAAAGAGCTACAAAGTTTCAAACCACGGCTACATGAATTTCATGAATAGGAACGGGCCTATAATTGCGTCACATCATTTCAACTGCATTCCAAAAGTAGAAGGAGGGAAAGCCATGCAGCAGAGCCAACACAAATTCAAGCCTTTCATTAAACGCTTTTGCTGACAGCTGCTTCGCTGCCGTCGTCACCAACAGTCTTGCGACACTGCACTTCTGTCAATCCAGTCAGGCTGCCAAAGTGCTCATGCAAAATCAATCCCTACTCAAATAATAGGCTCAAATACATGTGTCACCCGTCGCCCCTAGGAAACCTAAAAAAAACATTCGCGGAAGTGGAAATCGCCGGGTTAACAGACCGCGGAAGGCCCCGAAAAGCATGTGCTGCTCGCTTCAGCCATCTTTGTCGAGTATCACGGTTGACCCGCTCGGCATAGCCCACTGCGGTTTCCGTTCAATGCACGACACAACTTTCAGTGTCTTATCTGTCCCGTACTTGGCGCGCCAACCAAGCGAGCTAGATAACTGAATGCGATTCAGCTTGTATCATCACTGAACGAGTGGCGAGGAGCGAAGAAAAGCGCTATACTCAAGTCAACCACTACCCGCATTTCACCTGATTTGAAATTCTCAAAGTAACAAACAAAAAAATAACAAATAAAAAAGAGTTCTTTACAGTGATATATTTTTTTTTATTTGAGCTAGTGAAAGTCAATAAATGCAAACATCCACATCAACCTCACCTTGTCCAACTATATCGTAGGATGCCCGACAACCACTACGAGCGTTCATGTTCCATGAAACCTAGGGTTCTTCGATACGCGCGCCATAGTGGCAGAGGGCAGCGCGCGCATCGAGGAACCCTATTGATACAGAAACTATAGCCCTCACTTTCCGGGGACACTGCCCTAGAACATGGCTAGGGCCAGTGAGTTTTCCTAAAATTAACTAGAGGGGACACTGGCACTGCGATCGTTATGCGACCATGAGTAATTATAGGTATGACATGGATTTGCCTAGTCTTCGTGCTTGCGGGCGGCAAAGGCATTTGTGGCTTCGTTTATTGCTTTGTTTCTGTTTTGTTTCGAAGGAAAGAACAAACCGCTTTTTCACTTCGTGGCCCGATTTGAGGTGGTAAGCCTAAAAGATTAAGGTGGTGAAGCGTAACTGCCGAACGTTTGCCGATTGTTGTTTCGTGACAAAGCAGCTTCAAACCACGCGAAGCCAGAACGAACGTAAAGTACGAAGACTAGACAAATCCATGTCCTACCCATATTTTCCATGCTCGCTAAAGCGCTACGCGTTGTAGATCCCATAGACATAAGCGCCAAAGTTCCCTGTAGTGTATGTTTAGGAAACTTTGCGGCTATAGGGGAGACTCGCGAAAGAAGGCGTACTGCGCAGGTTGCAGGGACGCTATATGTAGGTCCCGTTTTGGAGTCTTCTACACGGACGCGTCTGGCCCTCGTCACGGGGCTGGTACACGGCAGCCGCAGTTTATCAAAATGTACCTGTAGCTGAAGGGCTCAGCGGACATATACTTACGCGGAGGAAGCTGCCATAGCTCTCGTCGCAGCAGACACCGCATCTCGAATTACCGATTCATGGAGTGCATGCCAAAATCTTAAGTCGCATCACCGTTCGCGCTGCTCAAATCCTGAAGGATTAGTATTATCTGGACCACCCAAATACACTTTTATTCATCTGGGCTCCAGCTCACGCAGGACTATAGTGGTGACGAAGTCGCCGATGCCTCGGCCCGCACGCTTAGTTCTTGGGAACCCTCTCGTCTTACACCACTTGACGATCCTGAACGTAATTCGGTCACGTTATTTCGAGAAATCATAGGGATGAACAAATCAAACCGATTTCCGGCCCCGGTGACGAACACGGTGTGACGAGCACTGGCGCTTACGGCTATCAACACAGTATTATGTCCAGCGCTACTTAAGCATTTCAATCCACTGGGACCTTCTCCGTGAACGTTAAAGAACCCCAGGTGGTCGAAATTTCCGGAGCCCTCCACTACGGCGTCTCTCATAATCATATGGTGGTTTGGGGACGTTAAACCCCACATATCAATCAATAAATTCTCCGAAAAATGCCCGCACTGTGATCATCCGCTCACGGATGGATTTTTCCCGTGGTGAGGGGATGCTCGTCGAACTCGGCGGTCTCCGCAATCAATTCCGCTTCACCCACTACTCGGGGGAGCTGGAAGGCTGCCCGGCTCGGCCTTGGAGGGTCAAAGAACCCTCGTGACCAGGGCGCTGCCACGGAACCCACAGGGGTCCCGGACTGGGAACTTCGCCTAGAGTTTGTGCAGGATCGGGCGTTAAGGCCGCCCTTGTCTCTGTCTTGCAAATAGTCAAAATAAACGCGTTTCGCCTACACCACCATAGAACCCATCCATGCCACAGATAATTGTGCCCCCCCCCCCCCCCCTCCCCTCGAGGACGACGCAACGCTCGTTGCGCTTCCGTCCGGCCGGGCACTGCATTGTGTTCAATAACAGAAGCCGCGGCGACCGTATAGCCCCCAAGTTCCGCGTCCGATTATTAGTGGCGCTCTTGTGGCTGTCACGCCGATTTCCCCGATTCTGCTCTCACCGTCAACTACAACAGCTATCACAAGCATCTATAGGTATTGTTTAATCATTGCTAATAGATTTTCGTCGTCGGGATACAAATGTATCACCAAACGTCGGCGTAGATGCGCTATAGCTGTTAGATACCATAACACATTGTGCAAGTAAGCATTCAGCTACTTCTGTAAGGACAAGCTTTACTTTCTTGTTATACTGATTATGACGGAGGGATTAACCATGTTCTTTCTCTCTTTTTTTTCGCGGTACAACGCATTTGCATGTTCTCGCGTTATGCAAGCGTCGCGCTGAAGCGTAGTAGTTCGGACACTTGCGTTCGGAGCGTGCAACGGTGCAAACTCAGATGAACTAAAAAAAAATTCCATATATTTTTAATTATACCAATAGCCACATTGAGCAAAACCTGAGGTGCCCACGGTCGCATTATAAAGTACTCCGCTATGTAGGTGGACAACACTTTCTTTCCTTTCTTCATTAATACATTGATTCATTGAATTAAGCTCGCACATACTGGAGACTGCTAACACTAGCCAATAACCGGTTGGTTCCTGGCTGACTGGTCGGTCTTTCGCAAGGACTTTATGTTGGCTAGCGTTGACCAGTACTACCAAAAGTAGTCTAACCGGTCTTGAGACGAAGTATACGGTATAATACGTGTGACATATCCTGTTTCAATGCCTCTGAGACGAAAAAATTGTTCTAGAATTTAATATTTTATAACTAATAATCTGATTGATTTACATTAATTAGTATGTGAAAGTCGATCAACGCTTTACTACGACAGCGGATAAATAGAAGCTGCTGGACCCAACTTGACGGTTTAGTCGTTGCGGTGCTCGAGAGTCTTATACCCCAAGGTCATGAAATCGTTTTCATGGCTGCGGCGCGCGCTTTTCGACGGAGGCAAACTGCCAAATGCAATGTGTGTTTTAATATATGACAGCATGTTAAAAAAACACAAGATCGCCGAAATTGCCGAAGGAAACTTTTACGACAGCGTCCCTTATAATCATAGTGTGATTTTGGGACGTGAAACGCCCGATAATATTAATAAGAGGTACCAGTTCCGACAGGCTTTTAAAGAACACAGGGGTCGTAACTCAATTGGTTTATGATCTCTATGACGTATGTATTACGTAAAAAAAGCACGATAATGAATAAGTAAGTCTCTTTTCTCACCAAGTCAAATCGGTAGCTGCCCTTGGTAGTAAGTGAGGCAGGCCTTGTCAGCAGAGATGGCGGCACCACGCGGCAATCCTGGAAGGTGTTGTCACCCTCCACGTAGTGACTAAGGATGACCACGACGCTCGGTGTGAATACCGTCCTGCTCGAACGAGCGAAGGAAATAATAATTAGGGTGAGAAGCAGGGATCTAACTGGCTCTGTTTGATTTAAACAGATACTGGACCTGGATCATTTCCTACTCGAAATCGCCTTTTTTTTAGTT